TGAACGTGGAACCTTCAGGCATCTGGAAACTGTACCCAAGGATGAACCAGACTGGTGGAGGTCCACAGTTCTCTTCCTGATATCTTGGCTGATTTCTTTAGATTTTCCATGTTGTCACAAAAGGAAGCAACGTGTTTGAGGTGTGCCTTAAAATACATCCACAGGTGTGCCTCCAGTTAACTCACATGTTGTCAGTTAACCAATCAGAAGCTTCCAAAGCCATGACATCATCATCTGGGCTTTCCCAAATAGTTTGAAGGATCTTAGAGGATGTAAACTTCTGATTTTGAAGAAAGTCATAAAAACTCTCTCTCATTATTCTGCTGTTCAGCAAATAGAAATAATGTTGGTGATCCTGACTGACCTGAAACAGGAAAGTTTAGTCTGATTTAATGTCAGACAGTGAGAAAAAAAAAAAGGTTATATGTCATGGATGTAAATAGTGGATATAAACTTCTAGTTTACGAGCTTCAGCGAAGGTGAGTTTTAAATGCATCTGAGTCATATTAAATCATTCTTAAACATCTGAAGATGATCTAAGCTTCGGGGTGCCAAATTGGATTTTAAGAAACATAAATAGAGTAAAAACCAATGGACCAAAGATGCTAAATAATTCTAATTCTAGTGGCTGGAATTTGCTGTTTCCAGGTGTGACGGTTTTTACGGCGCAAACAGTCATCAGAGAAAAACAAGACATTTCCATGGAATCACAGAAAGCATCTCTGACCTGAAATCACACCACATGAGGCCTAACTGAGAGGTTTATACGATCACTCACTGAGGACTCACCTGCTCCGCTCTCACCTGGCAGGAGATGACATCACATGTGCAGAACCCCTTGTGCTAAGTCAGAAGCAGTTGTTGTTGGTTGTGTAGTAAATAGTGTGTGGTTTCATTTGAGAGGACAAACTGCAGCTTCTGATGTCGGTGCTGAGAAAACTGATATTTTCTCCCTTTTTAATCTCTCAGCAGTCTCAGGTTTATAAGATCCACTTCATTGATCCCCGTTTATTTTTAACTTTGCATGAAATCAAATATCTGTGGGACACAAACAGCACTTTTTTTCTAAAGCATCAGTACGGATGCTCTATTTGTGTATTTTCCTTTATATATCAAAGTCCACAGTTGCTATGAATAATCTAATAAACAGAGACGGTTTTATAAATATGATCTATTTAACTATTTATTATAATAAATTCAACTTTCATTCTAGAAAGGTGGTCCTGGTTTCGTCAGCTGTTATACTCACAAATTGTTTTGGATTTTTTAACTTCTCCCAGGTGCTATATAAAATCTTTCATTTAAAATAACACCACTTTTTCTTGTTTGAGAAAATCAGTATCAAAATATTACGGACATTTCCTGATCTCTTATGAATGCAAATGTATATAAAATGACATTAACAATAACCAAGATGATGCTCAAAGCGGCTACAACAACCAAAGTTTTCATGTGTGTAAAACAAAAACTGATGACTTTTGAGTTTGAAACTAAACGTAATACCTAAAAACTAGCAACTCGTCGTCCATAACTGGAGCTATTTAACCATCATAATAAAGTTTCAACCACGAATCGTAGAAAAAAAACCCAAGACTTTAATATTCAAAGCCCAAAACGTTTGTAACAGAGCTCCCACATCACCAACACACACGGTTTCCTTTAACGTTGACGTGATCACACACCTTCAGGACCTGACAGACGAACATCGATCCCGCTGGGTGTCAGTGCATGTTGAATATTATCCACAGAGCGTTTTAAGATTTGCATTGTTCGCCGTAGCACAGAAAATATGTTTTCAGTGAAGATCAGAGTATGTAAATGAAACACGTTTGTCAGTAACCTGTACTCACATACACAGTATGTGACAGCATTCACAAGTATGTGTGTACACGGGGGCGACTGAGCCAGAACCTCCCACCCAAACCCCAGGGCCGCTGTAGCCCCATTCTCCCTTGTCAATACAGAAACCCGACTAAGCTTCTTGTGGAACATCATCAAAGCTCATCGTGTCTCTTCGTTAAATCTTCGCCATAATTGGTGGCTTGGCTGCCCACAAACATGTTCCAGTTTGCCAGAATCTCCTTCTTGGTTATTTTCTCATCCTGTTGATTGATCACCAGATTCCATCCGATAGTGGTTTATTGATTTATGATGGAGAAGAAGAAGAAGGAGGAGGAGGAGGAGGAGGAGGAGGAGGAGGAAGGAGTGATGAAAAACACAGAGACACAGAGAGAAGATAGTTATTAATTAACCCACAATTAATCAAATCATTTCCACAGAAACAGCCAACAGCACAGAGAAGTGATGTCAGCCGAGTGTTTGGCAGGTTTCACTTCAGTCTCCATTAATTAGTTCATATTTCATCTTCTAGGGTTTGTGTTTTCATGCATTTTGCTTAAAACATCCTTTGGTTTGTGTCTTTTAGGATAATTAATATTAATGTTGTGTTTCTGGTTAAAGTGCAATTAGTCACCAGTTGGCTGTTCATTGGTCGCAGCACATCTAGCTCCCGACCAAACTGAGTAATTCTCTATTTTTCTTACTGTCACAACAGCGTGTTTGTCTTCTGTTAAATTACCACCAAGATAAAGTTTCATCTATTTAAAAAAAACAAAAAACAAACTCATTTCCAAACAGAGGCGGCTCATCGGTTGGTAGTTGGAGGTTTGATCTCCAACTTTTGCTGCTACAGTTTCAGTTCGTGTTGTGCATTTATAGACACTTTACAATATCTAGCACTCTTTTTTGTTTTCTTTCTAACACTTTGGATTTTTCCTGTAGCATGGCTCATCAATCAAACACGTTCTATTTTGACAGCGTTAGAAAACCAGCAGCTCTAAACACAAAGCTGCCTGTTGGGATGTTCTGCTCGTTTCTGTCCTGTGCTGTGTCTGAGTGACATGAGTACCTTGTTGGTGTCGGTCTCGTGGATCAAGTGTTTGGCTTCGTTGTCGGCGTGATCAACTTCTCCTGGCAGGATCCAGTTAGCCACTTCAGCAGCGTCCATGTAGCCGTCCTGCCCAATGCAAAGGCAATAAAGGAGTCTGAGCAGCAGATCAGCGTTTGTTCCTCTGCTGTAAACACTCATCAGGATTTTACATTTAACATGTTGACTACAGGAACCAGCTGGTAACTTCACATCTGTATGAGCTCTGCACACCTGGAACCTCTCAGGTGTTGTGTCGCGCGTGTTTTAAAACACAATGAGCAACCTTGTGTCGCTGAGGAAGGATTAAACTCTCACATTCGAAATAACCTGAGCAGCTTTTACCTTGTTGGTGTCTCTGAACTCGTAGAAATGTTTCCTCTCGGTAACGACCCAGTCGGGCTCAGGTTCTCCGTCCCCTTCAGGTGTGTACATGTCACCTGTGGAGCAGCAGCCAAACACACATTCAGGTACAGATCACCTCCAGCGTAGAGCCAGCCGAGGGAGAGAAACTGTGAGGATCCTACCGATGTATTCACTCAGGTCGACCTTTCCGTCTCGGTTCTTGTCGATGTCTTCCATAGTTTCCTAAATGAGAAAAACATTCAGTTCAAACGTGCAGCATTTCACCGTATCAGCTGTAGATGATAATAGAACTGTATATGATGTAAACGTATGAACTGTGTCATTGCTGTTGATGGGAAAAGTCATTCTGTGAATCATTGTTTTTAGTCCATTCAGTGTTCACAGAGCTGCATTACTAGTGTTCCCGCTAGAGCCCAGCCTCTACCTGCACTATCACATCTCTCATGTGATCGTACTCCTCGGGGTGAAGGAAGGCGGTGAACTCCTCACGCGTGGCGATGCCATCAGCATCCCGGTCGGCCCCCTTGAAGCGCCTCTCGTCCCGGGTCAGCATGGCCTTGTAGGTGGCCTTGTCCTCGATGTCGTCAAACTCCTCACCTGGAGAGAAGCTTCAGCTTTCAGCAGTCTGAGCTTTCTTCTGCTTTTACCTGCAATATGTCTGAGCGGTCAAGTCTAGAGGTGAAATAGACACACAGCTGTTTCTAAAAAAATACAAAAAAGGACCTTTGTGGTGTCTGATCAGAACAGACGGGCCGGCGTCAGAACATTAGTTTAACTGGTTCAGTTCTCAGTGAAGCTTGAAAACGCAGCCCGATAGGAGACGCTGGATGTAAACCTATTAGCTGCTTTAATTTTAAACATTAAAAATCACTTTCAAGGAGGAAAATAAACAAGAACACGTGAGGAAGATGTAAACTAACAGCTGAGAAGTTGTTCTTTAACACACAGAATTACCCAGGTAGTAGCCGTAGGTGGTGTTTTTATACTCCTCCCAGCCGATTTTGCCATCCTGGTTCTTGTCGTAGTCGTGCCAGTGTTTGTTCACGTTCTCCTCGATGTACCTCCTCTGCCGGTGCTTGATCCAGTAGTGCAGCTCAGCGTGGCTGATGTAGCCGTCCTTGTCCGTGTCGATGCGATCCACGATCTTCCTGCAGAAAGAGATCAGACCAGGATCAGAACTATGAGGTCAGAAAGGCTGGTTTTCTCCTCTCAGTCTTCAGCTGTCCATGTAAACAGACATCACGTTAAACAGGTTTTCTTCACAAACTACAGTAATACAATCTGCATCGAGCAGAATATTGCAAAACTTTCCATAAATAGAATTCATGTGCAGTTGTTTGTGGGTCGTGCATTCATCACAGTTATTTAGATTCTGTTGAACACATGATTCTTGAAGTATCACACTTGGTTTTGTTGTAGGTTTTATGTTTTATTGCAGCAGCTGTTCGATCCTTCACAGTCCTTCAAATCAGCTCAGACGACAAGACAAACATGAGTTACCCTCTAAAGGTTCTGATGTTTGTAAGTAGCAGCTGCATGTTGTTGATGTGCAGAAAACTCTACTGAGGCTGCAGGTTGAACACTTACGCTAGTCTGGCTTTGCTCTCCTCAGGGCTCAGCTGGTCGAACGTCTTGGCCTCCTCCTTTCCCAGAAAGGCCTCGTGGTCGTACTTGTAGCCGTGAGCATCGTCGTGGGCGTGGTCGCTCAGATCCGCCTGGTGATGGATTCGCTTCTCCTGAGCGGGAACGGCGACGGCGGCAGCGGCCAGGAGGCAGAACGGAACCAGAGAAGTCAGCAGCATCATGACGGACCTTCGAGGGCTGCAGAGAAGAAACAAGCTGTGGAGGAAGAACACACAGTTTACCAGTGAAAACCATTTAATCTCTTTTATGCATCGATGATTCATTAACTGGGTGACATTTTTTAATAGCAAATCATTTTTATTGAAAACCACATTTTAGCTAATAGATGAAGCCTCCATAGTTTATTACTGACATGTTGTACAGTAACTTAGAGTTTTGTTTTTACACGGCATCAGTTAATATTTACACCACATTTGAATTAATTATATTCACCAAACTGGGCCCTTCTGAGCCGGATATAACCAGTAATACATGACACTTTTCATTTACACACTAAAAAAATGCTAAAAGCCATCTGGACTAAACTTTGATTACAGTATTTCCTTCACTACAGTTATTAAGATCATATTTTTGTGGTTGTGTGAAGATGGATGAACCTTTCCAGCAGCAACATTTCACGACTCCTGCATATTGTCTCACTGGCAAAGTAAAAAGAATAAAAACTAAAACAAGTTTAAGCAGATCATCAACCATTTTGGATTCATGATGCAATATTTCAGTAGAAATAATTAATAAAGACAATGATCAGATACTAATACAGAAAGGCTCGCTCAGAGTAATTACCGTGAATAATGTAATTACTCTAAGTGGATTCACAGCTGAGTGACTGAAGCCTACAGCGCCTCCTTGAGGTCAGAGTGTTGAACTGAATGTTGTCTCAGCAGCTCTAATGCTGACATGAATCTGGAGTGGAGACTCCTTCAACACCCTCAACCTTTAAAGCCAGCCGCTGCAGCTCTTCAGTAGAAACTGTTAAACTGTAAAAGTGCTCAGAAGATTTGATTGAGAGCAACAACGGCGTGAACATTTACTTGTAAACATTTAGATAAGTCGACAGCAATCAGGAGACTTTCCACAACTTCAATCAACAGGCTTCAAGTCCAGCTGGAGCTTATAGCACAAAGAATAACTTCTTCAGTCTTCAGGGCATCTGAGGATGAAGCCGACTGTCTGATGGATAACCACAGATCCACATTTCCTGTTTTTTGGAGGTTTTTTGTAAACTAAAGCAGAAGCAGAGCAACGGTCTACTGTGACTGAAGCTCCTTCAGATCTGCTTCATGCTGCTGCTGGTTCTCCTTGTCGGAGACGAGCACAGTAGCCTGAAGTGGCTGTAGGTGTGAGGGTGAGCATGCACGGTGGTCAGTGTCTCTGTGATGGACCGGTCACCTGTCCAGGTGTACCCCCCACAACCCTCCACAGGATGGGGAGCAAAAATCAAACAGCAAAGCCCTTAAAAATCTATCCTGGACTGTTTGAAAGGTTCTTCAGCAAATTACTGTACCGCTCAGCGTCGGAGAACCTCTGGTTCTGTGATATTAACGTGGAACAACAGCTGAAGAACTCTGCAGAGTCTCAGTGTCTCATAATTTATATTCAATCAACTCTGAAATAACTTATCAGGTTAAACTGTTCAGAGACCAGAACCAAAGGCCACATATGACCCAGACTAAGACATTAATTCCTCTGAAAGCAGATCAAGTCCAGGATTAGTGTGAAAAGTGATCTACAACCACCAACATGTTCCCAGATATCTGACCCCTGATCAGCACCAAAACACACACCAGATGATCAGCTCCACAGCAGCTTCCCTAACCCTTCATTAAACATCATTAAAAACACTTTTAAAACGCCCATTTAACAGAGTTTTGGGAGTTTCCGCCTCTGAACTCTGTTAAACTTCTTAAATAGATGAAGTGAGCAGCTCCTTACCAGATCTGTCCTCCTCCTTCAGTCCGCGTTGGCACTCCGCTGCTTTAAATAATGGGAGGCTCAGAGGCGGGACTTGCTACACAACTGTCCAATCAGAGGCGCCCCGCAGCAGAGTCTGACCAATAGGAAGAGAGAAGCTGTAGTAAAACTCCCCACACTGCGCTCCTATTGGCTGCCAACCGCCACGTTGTCACCATTTCATTATAGAAGTGTAACGTTCCCATTAAATCTGAAAAGAATTCATCCACTGACAGATTTTAGCCGCAGCGGGTGAAGGTTCACCTGAAAAGTACTCAAAGTAAAACTGAGAAACTGAAAAGTAAACTGAAGCTGTTGACGTGTCTGCCTCATTTTACCTCAGTGTCACCAGTACAGATGTTCAAACAGCTGCAAAGGGACAATTCAATACATGTAAGGCAGTTTGGCACCCATAAATCCTATAATAACTATCAATAGTTATAATTAAAATATAACTAATCACAGTGAACCAGGACGTGAGACACACCAACCAACAGTACCACCTATTATACCCGGTAACACCATAAACTGCAAACATTTATGTCACAAGTAAATGTCGTATGTGTGTTAAAATTGCTCCGTCGCGACTAAACTTTCAACAAGTACGTTTAATCAGATTTGGTTGCTACGTGCAACATCACAAAGTCACAAAAAAGCCTCTCAGAGCCAAACAATTTGGTTTTAATTTGTCTTACCGCCCTCATACTTTAACAAACTCCCTCCAGTCAACTCACCAGAGAGACTTTTAACATCTCTGTGATGCAAAGTTTTCAGAATTGTGACTTTTAATTGGATGCTGTTGCTGTGGTTTAATGGGGAATTTCAATGTTTTACCATCAAAATGTAAATTGTTGTAACTGTAATTGTTCAATCAAGCTTCCTGTTTAATTGGCCTTCTGGCCTGAACACATCTCCATGCTAACACTGAGTTATAAAACTCCAGCACGACGAACCCTCTCCACCTTCAGTGCGACCCGTTGAGGCGGGCAGGGACAGAAGAGTGAACGATGGAGTCCAGATTACATCACAAGGACATCACTGGAAATGAAACGTCCCTTTATTGCAGCAGAATATCAGACAATATTGATTTTACACAGACTTTATTTATGGACAATTATGCAAACAAATGAATACACACGTAAATAAATAGAAAATATTTTAGAACCTGACCTAAGGTGACACAGCCGGTAATAGAAGGGCAGGTTTCCACGATGCTAACTGTTAGCCCTGTAGCTGGGATATCTGATGGAGGAACGAGGTCGACTGCAGACTGTGGACTCTGCAGGTCACTATATGAGATGCAGACGTGGAGAATATAGGTTCTAGTTAAGCCACACACTAAGAAGAATCGTTTATGCAACAGGATGACTTCACTGTGGGGAGAAGGTTACAGCCATGATCTGACAGCACGCTTTCTCACCATTTTTCTACGAAATAGGAAACGAGGGAGGAGAGAAAACCCTAAACTGCAGCGTCGGCTCCACGAAGAAGCTCAGTAACAGCTGTTGGTAGGCTACTTTGGTTTTTTGCTTCCATCTACGTTCTTGCCTCCCACTGGAACAGAAGAGTCAGGAGGGCTGGACGATGAGGTGGATGGAGGTATCACATTATTATCCCCTGGACTCCAGAGACCTGCAGCAACACACACAGTCACACTGATAAACACGACAACACACTCCTGCTCTGTTTGTCGTCAGCCGTGGCTGCATCAGATGTTGGAACATTTTGTGAAAACTTTCCCACAGATGAATGAGAAGGTCCATTCACCCATTCATTGATGCACTGTCTGCTCGGGATCACAGTTAAAGCTGCACAGCGGTCTTACTGTGTTAATGAACGTTCAGGAAGTGGAAGGTTGAAGCTCTCTGCAGTATCACTTAGATGCCAAATAGTTTAAAATTACATCACTTCACAGCACCTGCATTATTTCCAAGTTTGACATGAAGGTAATTCCGCTCATCCATCCATCCATCCATCCTCTATACACCACCTAATCCTCACCAGGGTCATGGGGGGCTGGAGTCTATCCCAGCTGACTCAGGGTGAAGGCAGGTTCACCTGGACAGGTAACCAGTCTATCACAGGGCTACACTTAGAGACAGACAACCAAGCACACTCACATTCACACCTACGGACAATTTACAATCACCAATTAACCTCAACATGTTTCTGGACTGTGGGAGGAAGCCAGAGAACCCGGAGAGAACCCACGCTGCACGGGGAGAACATGGAGACTCCACGCAGAAAGATCCCAGGTGTCCTCATCGGGAAGCCAACTGGCGACCTTCTTGCTGTGAGGCAACGGTGCTAACCACCGAGCCACCTTGCAGCCCTGATTCCACTCATGAAAAATCAAAAACAACCACCACATGAAGACTAAATCAAAGATGCAAAAGTAGAAACTGAAAGAAAGGGCATCCAGCTGTGATCGGTGGACCTAAACTGAGTCCACCTGTGATTTCCAGTCAGTCTAACTGTATGAACATGGTTCTAAAATGAACTGTGAACAGTAGAACTTTCTCAGTTTTGGACCTACGCACTGTGTCTATCTGCATGTCTGCATCATGGCTCCACATGGACAACAATTGAAAGAGGAAGTGAAAAATCTGAGCGTGAGACTTCACATAGATGGAGATAGATCCAGGAAAATCACTGAGCAACTTAAGACCAATGAACCACAGTGCCTGCAGGTATGGAAGGAGCCATAGTAGCACTAATCAGAGCTGCAGTGGTCACTCTCATAAAAAGACGCTAAAACACAAGTAGCACAATGTAGCAGTGAAAAGCAACCTGGGAACAGGTTTTATTCTGAAAATCAGAGTTTCTGTAAAGCTCAGTGTGAAGAATATTAGATAATGTCAACCTCTATGGACACCGTGTTTACATAAAGTAAGAACTGTGATGTGGCCAAGCGTGTGTCCTGACCTGAATCCAACAGAACCATTTTGAGAAAGGTAAAGCAAAACAAACAGTGTGTGAGAACATGTGAGAACAGAGTTTAGTGAACTCTGGTCTCCTCTGTGCTGAGGAGGAACAAGTCTGTCATCAGAAATAGAAGTGGACACACGAAGGACTGACTTTTGGTGCATTAAATTCCTGCTGTGGGGCCTGAATTTTAATACAGGAAATCTAAACTGTTAGTTTATATTTTTACATCAGAGCCAATAAAGTAGTGTTTAAGTACTTAGAAGTAATGTGATTACTGTGACGTGATGTTTTGCCCCGCCTCCTGTTGTACATGTATTAGTAACAGTGGTGAAAGCAGCAGTAATGAAAAGCCTCACGAGTAGCTGGTGTGCTGCTGTCGCCTCCGAGCGCTCCTCATCTTCTCAAACCGAGCCTCCATCTCCTCCAGGACCTTCGGGGTGTAGCGGACCACCAGCTTCACGGAGCTCTGGGCCGCCTTCAGCAGCTCCACGGCCTTCTCGTGGTGCTCCCCCTCCACGCTCTGCACACACACATTCGGTGTCTACGGGTGTTCAGAGACAGGCAGGAAACAAACTGGATGAATGTGCAGCTTCTCACCACCCCGTTGACAGACAGCAGCTGGTCTCCTCTCTTCAGGCCTCCCTGGCGGTCGGCCACTCCTCCTGGGATAACTCTGGAGATGTAGATGGGGGAGTTCTGCTCTTTGCCTCCCATTATGTTAAAGCCCAGACCCTCCTCGGTCTTCGGCAGCTCCACCACCCGGGGGTGAGCGTGACCCTCGCTGGCTGCAAACGCTGCCACTGTGGCCTAGTCGGGAGGGAAAGCAGCTGGTCAGCAGAGCACGGGAACAAACAGGTGAGATGTTCTGGCGGGAGTGGACTATAACATCTACATGTGGGTACCTCCTCCTCCTCCTCCTCCCCCTCCCACACCTGTCCGACCCCTCACCTGGAACAGTAGGAAACCTGTTGCTGTTGCTGCAGTTAGAGAAATGTGTTTTTATGTTGTTATTATCTAAAGTTAGGTAAAGGTGACTGTTGTTTAAACTCAAACTTAAAAATATGAACATTTCCTTTTAAACATCTCAATAATTTAGCTAGATGAACTTTGTTGTCATTTAAGCGACACACGGCAGCCCACATTCAAACTACACTACGCTGCATTGTAGTGGACGAACACTCTGATGCTTTTAAATGTGTTTAAAGCAGGAACTGTGGTCTAGATTTATACATCGATGACTGTAAGAGTTGTAGTGCAGTGTGTGTGTGTTTAACAGCTGGTGAAGCTCTGTCACGTCTCAGCTGTTTCAGACCAGTCAGGATGCTGGCGTGACTGGTTGAGTCTCACACTGGAGAGGCCCGAAACCTAAACTGGTCTCTGTGCGATTAAAACATTCCTCCTGTGTAACACTGAGGTTCAGCGACTCTCCTGACGGTACCTTGGCTGTGGCCTGAGCTCGCACCTCTGGTCCCCCGACAATGTCCAGAGTGTCGTACAGCTGCTCGTATACCTGCAACGGAACACAGGTAAGTCAGACCAGAGATGAACTGATGCACAGGTGACATACAACATCATAAACACCCCAGACTGAAGCTTTAAACTTTTAATTAACTAAATCACGATGAACTGGACTGTGTCATCAGTACTTTAATGTTTTCACTGATCTTAAACAGGTGAAGTATTTGTCTACACTCTAGGAAACAAGGTGAGATCAGAAGTGAGGCTAGGACACAGTTCACTAGTGGTTTATTTTTTTAATCATTTTGGTTATTGTTCACTAACATCAATCAATAATGTATTCAAATGAGTGTCACGTGTTGCTGGGGTCCTTTTCACCACTGACATGAAACCGAATGAACAGAAACAGCAAAAGGTCATCCAGCAGGATTGGTGAAAGCGGATCAGAACCTGAACACATCCTCTAGCTTTAGCCCGGAGCTTGTTTAGAATGTGCTCTCGGTTAGATTTTACAGGTAAAATGACCAAATGAAGATGCCGTAACGCGCACACTCTTATGATACGCTGCCTATAAACCAGCACAACCCATCCCCCGTACCTCTCTGATGGCGGCGCAGAATTTACTTTGCAGGACTCTCTGCAGGGCCTGAAGCTTGGGAGGAGGCAGCTCACCGGTCCGCTGCAGTCGGTCCAGCAGCTCGATCACCCTGCACACATCTGACCCAGACACACTCTGAGCGATCCAACAACAGGTTACCGGTGTCTAAAGCTTTAAAACCCCCTGATCAGCTGTTTGCTTTCTCTGCTCACTCCTCTCTCATTTATACTCCTGCTTTGAGTTTCATTTGGACCACCTGATCTCAGCCTCCTCCGTCCTCCGGCTGTGACCCAGAAATCAGTCTTGGTGCATCACAACAAAAGACGTCTGAGTTCATAAATGGAGAAGGAGCTCTGAGTGAGGATGCACAGGTGTGTCCACCGTGGAGTTTTTTCCCCACCAGTGACATAAAAGAGGCGACACACAGCTGAATAATTTATGATCATAATATAACAATTAATATGGGCTGATGTGATGTGGTTGGAGCAGGAAGGTCCAGGTGAGGGGCACCAGATTAGTCCGGAGTCTCCCCAGGTGGCCCTGCAGGACCTGATGTGGGCTGAGAGGCGGAGCCACACATTTACCTGTGAACAGCTTTAAAGTTCTGTCCAACACTCACCTGAGACACTCAGTCTGGTGTTGGACAGAACATTAAGTGTTAATTAATTAACACTATTAAATCTTAAGGTTTTGGATCAGAAATAAAAATCATAACATGTTTGAACTGCTTGGTGTTTGATCAGAATCAGTCCAGAATCAGAGAACATCAGAGAACATCAGCAGCTTCAGCCTCAACAGCCGGAACAGTCTGAATTCATCCATTCATTCAATCGTCCATTCACACATTCATCTATCCAGCCATTCATCCATCCATCCATTCAATCATACATTCATCCACCCCATCACTCATTCATCTATTCACCCATCCATTCAGTTATTCATCCATTCATTCATGCATCCATCATTTATTCAATCATCCATCTAGTCAATCACTCATCCATTCAATCATCTATCCATCATCCATCCATCCATCCATTCATTCAATCGTCTGTCCATCCATACATCCATCTGTTCATTCATCCAGTCACTCGTCCATTAAATCATTCACCATCCATCGTTCATGCATCCACCCTTTGATCACTCACCCATCCATCCGTCCATTCCACTGCTAATGACGTGCCCTCTGAGCCCGTGCGCGTGAGGAGGCGTGGCCGCGAACACACACGTTCCTTAATGTTCTAAATGAGTCCATTAGAACAACGAGCCGTCGTTTATCGACCAGTGTCCTAGAAAGCGCAGCGGCCTGGTCCTACCTCTCTCCAGGCACAGCGGCTCCGTCATGGCCGCCATGTCCGCCTCCTTGGCCGGGTGGTAGTAGGACGACATCATGGTGAGCTGCTCCGAGCTGCGATCTTCACGCTCCGACACGAAAGCCCGCTTCAGTGCGCGGCGGCCTCCATGTTCTCCGGCGGTCGGTGAGGATGGAGGCTGCTGGGATGGAGGACCGGATGGAGGCTGAGCGGGATGGAGAACCGGATGGAGAACCGGGAGGCTCCACCTGACGCAGCAGCTTCTCGCAGCTCAGCTTCCTTTACGTGCACAGTCCAGTGAATCAGACGCACGCCGAGTACACATTTATTAATTTATTTATTATGAGAATTTCCAATCAGGTTGAAGTTGATCCTCTGGAGGAATTTCTTTTATTTACCACATTTATCTGATGTTTAATTTGAACCAGTCTTTTTACAATCATCACATCTACTGACCACATTTCATTTAATACATCCCAGTAAAGAGCTTTAACATTAGACAGCTGTTATATAATTCACTGATCAATGCTCTTTTATTACATCTGACAAAGAAAACAAGTCACTTAAAATTTAAAAGTGTGAGAAGATGTGCAGTGAATGGTGTAAAAAAAAAAAATCCACAACAGAGCTTCTCTGATTTCAATTCACATCTTTATTAAAAGGACCCTGCAAGTCTAACATACAAACAGCAGATAGAATTAAAAAAATGACTCCAGATTGAGTGAACAGAACAGCCCTAAACTGTCAATACTTAACTTCCTTCAATCGCACACAGAAATTTGTAACTGGGTCCAAATGACTTACAATCTAACCGCTTACAAATCTGGAAATAAAAGACAACACAATCTACCTATCTCCAAATAAAGCTCACTTTTGAAGTTCATTCCAAGTTTAAAAAAAAAAAAAAAAACATACCTATGACTAAGGTAATCTGATTACATTTAGTGGCACGGATTAGTTGGGCAACGCAGGGAAACTCCCACTGAAGTGAGATCAAATCTGTTAAATGCATCAACTGTGCGTGCAATGATACCAAATGGAATATTTCAACAGACTTACAGGAAAGCTAGCTAGATGTCTGATCAGGAGGCCTGACATCATTACGCCTCGGCAGAGTAAGGCCAAGTACACGATGAAACAACTTATTTGTAGGTGGAGTCGTCCGTCAGAGGGGACGCCTCAATACTCATCTCCCGGAGCCTCCATCTTGTAGCCGTTCTCGCTGGAGGCGTAACAGTCGGCGGACGGGACGGACTGCTGGTCCATCATCATCCCGTCCTGACTGTACTCCTCCAGGTTCTGTGGGGCCCCTCCGTCCTCCTCCTGGCCCAGCTCGTCCTGAGGCCCCATGTCGTCTCGTGCCGACCCGTGGCGCTCCTCCCTGCGGTCGCCCCGGTCTCTGTCACCACGCTCCCTCTTATGCTCCCTGTCTCTGTCCCGGTCTCCTCGGCGCCGGTCTCTGTCCCTGTGGCTCCTCCTCCTGTCCCTGTCCCGGTCTCTGTCCCTGCGCTCCTCTAGGCCCTCACCTACCTCTCCTTCATGCTCCTCCAGGATCCTGTCTGCAGCCTCTGGAGCTCCGTCTCCCACCTCCTCCCCGTCCAGCCCCTTTCCTCTCTCCCTGTCCCTCTTGCGATCTCGGCTCCTGCTCCTCCTCTTGCGGTCTCGACTCCTCTCCCTACTCCTGCTGTCTCCTCCTCCCGCCGCCCCTCCTCGCTCCCTCTCTCTTTCCCGCCGCCGGCTGCTGCCACCGCCGCCACCCCCCCCTCCACCGCCGCCACCGCCACCGCCACCGGCGCCACCACCGGCGCCACCGTCCTCTCCTGCTCCCACCTGTCTGTCTCTCTCCCTCTCTCGCTCACGTGACCGAGTGCGGCGGCGGCGTTCACGGGATCTGGACCTCCGGCGCTCCCGGTCCTTGTCCCGGTCGCGCTCCCGGCTGCGCTCCCTCCGCTCTCCACGGTCCCGGTCGCTGTGAACAGCAGAACACAGTGAGGCCGGTTAGCCAGCAGTACTTCCACTGGACCCAGCAGCAGGTGTGTGACGGTACTCACCCGCCCAGCGGACGCTCGTCGTAACGCGACGCATCATCGCGACCAGAGTGTTTGATATTCACATCAGCTCCGCCTCTCCTGGTGCCTCCCAGTCCTCCTCCTGCACAGGAAATACAACGTTTAATATAATCAGTGGCCGCTGAAGGAAACGTGCTGCAACACAACAGCACACGAAGCTGCTGTGTTGTGGACATGTTACTACGGTTACGATGCTAACCTGAATGGGCTCCTTTGATGCAGGAGGGAACAACACTAAACCACAGACTGTGTACGATGCTACACACATTACGCCAGTTTGTAGGCAGGTCTAAATAAATGTAAGCCTGCTGAGACTGACCGGGGACAGTAAATGGACAGCACCTAAACAGCGCTTTTCTACCTCAGCGGTGCTCATTTAGCAGAAACAGAACAGAAATCTGGACTTCAGTCAGGCTGGGTGACCTGAGACCTTGAGGTGATTTAAGTCAGTTGAGCAGCATCTACGTGGGCTTCACCATTTAAAACACTTGCAACTATATAGAGGGACAAAAAACAACTACTTCGATGAGCAACTTTCATGTGCATAAAGTGGTAAATCCAGCTTTGTATCTGAATGCAGCATGTCACAAGTCAGTGTCCAATATTTTAAAAAGACCAGCAAAGACATAAAACCTAGTAGAAAACAACACACGTGCTCTACATTGTGAAATGCAGCTACTGTAAGTTTAAGAAAAAACAACACATTTGGCTTTTGCTGCTTCTCCTTCCACTGAGGTTTTCCTTATTTCTTCAAGAGAACAACTCATACTAATATATTATCTGTATTAGCTATGTATTTAACTAGTGCAGTGCTTCTCCTGCAAGTATAGTTTTGGTGTTATGGTCTTAAGAAATCCTAATTCTGCAGTCAGTAACTTCTTTTGAATGAGACTTTAACTGGCAGCAGCTTTACTGGAGAACAGCGTGTTTGACACCGTTCAATTCTTTTAGGGGCATTAAAGTACGAGTCTCAGAGGTAAACATGATTCTTCTCTGCACGTACATTAAGTTGTTTTAATCAGAGTAAATTAAAGACTCCGTTTAACTATGAGAAGAGAAAAGGCGCTGACCCAGCCTGCGAGGATGCCATCCTTTGACAGTGCGTCCTCGCTCCACGTCCACCAGCACTCTTCTGCCGTCGATCTTCTTCCCGTCTGCATGCTTGTAGGCGGCTAGAGAGGAGGAAGGGGAGAAGGTGGACAGGTGAGATGGAGTATGACTGCATCACTGTGGCCAAGGAAACAGACAGTGCTTTATTATACTGACCAGGAGCACGCGAGGCCGAGATGGCTGCTCTCTGGGTAAAACCCGAAGGATAATGGGAGTAGACTTCCTTCCACCCGGTGACCGTTTACATTTTTAACTGCATCACTTAAATAGTCCATTTCTTACGATGTCTGCGTTAACTACCAGCTTACAAAGTATATTGGAGCCATTTTAAGTTGTCCAGGTTGTCTTTAAAAGATAATTGTAGGGATTTAACTTCCATTTGCCTCAGGCTGAGACCTCTTTACATATATTTATTACTACTGAAGAGGCAGAGTGACAAGTTCTGCCTCAGCTTTGACTGAGACAAACTGAAGTTCTTGAACCGCAGATCTTAAATCAGCTTTTATTTCTCAATTTGTATTTTTCTTTTACAATACATCGGCTGATTTAAGCCCAACCAGTTGGGAGAGTTGACCGTTTGGTTACCTACAAATAAAAGCAAAGCTGTTGGATGTTTTCCAAATACCTCAGTTTGCTTTTTGGCCAACTACAAGCTACAGTTCGTAGGAAATCCTGACATTTGAATCAGACCTCAAATATCTACATAAATCAGTGGTCAGGCAGGTTGTGTTTGTCTTTGCACTGTTAACAGGAGAAGCTCTTCAGAAGCACTACTGTATTCTGTCATAGTCTTTAGTCCACTGAAACCTTCACGAGCTTAAGGAGAGACAACATCATGGGAATCAACAGGAAAGAACTTTCAGCAAAAGATGTACATTCAGACTTTGTCCGACACCTCATCCCCTGACAGCACACAACAGTCTTGGATCCATCTGGTATGATGGAAGGACTTGGCAAGTTTCAGGAGTCCATCCTGACTGCTACACTGGTCTGCTGCGGTGCTGATCCCAGAGAAGGGCCTTACCCAAACCCATCAGACATACATACAGAGGGCCTTACCAGACTCCCTCACTCAGACTATACACTGGATGGTCTGAACCCGTCTTAAAGCCTTACCAAGCACCTCCACACCAGAGTCACAACACCTCTACTGGGGGCCTTACCAGAACCCCTCCACTTCCTGTGGTCACTAAGGATGACAACAACCCCTCCATTGACAGGGCCTTACCAAACCCCCACCAGTCCTACCCAACAGACTAACTGAAAAAACAAACAAAAGGAAAAATAAACAAACAAACAAAAAACGGAGCTACCTTCATTGAAGGAGTTGAAATATCACAACCCCAACGTACTAAATATTTACTAAAAATTCAACACAGTCATGTTCCTAACACTGACATGTCATCTAAAGTGGCCTGAAATATCACATTGATTCAGTAATTTATTTACTGATATGCTTTAAGCTGAAACTGTGAGAACTAATACTCTAAAAATCGTGACCTTACTGATGTCATGAATTAATCTGTAAAGCTGCATTAATGAGTATCTACCTAGTTGTGTAGTAAACAAATAATGTATGAACAGCCCATTTAGCAGAATTTCCAAGAGAGTTCCCCTCATCAGCCTTTTCTATTAAAGCCAGCTCAGACTGAATTTTAATTGCTTTCTCCATTAAATGAGGCTGTGGACTGCATTAAACCGATTACATCCTGCCGTCTTCTAAAGTTTGGTGAACAGAGTCACAGTGTGGATCGACAAGCTCAACAGTTAATGCCCAGATTACCTTGAAAACTGCACTGATATTTAGTAGATCACTTGAGCCTGACGGTGACAAGGTGAAATGATTCTCCAGCTGTCAGAGTAAAGGCCGGTTATCGAAATTAGTTACAGGACACTAATGAACCAACCACATTGGCTCCTGAATTCCTGACAAACAAAGGCAACTGTAAAAACTAAACCCTGCACCTGTCATTATTTTTACTTGTACTGAAAATAAGTATGCACTTTGGTAACTTTTTAATTCTTCAGACAACTGTCTTCCTGGGAAACTGTTTCACACATTACTGAAATTTACTGCTGCACAATAGGAAGAGTGGAACTGCATCCCTACCTCCCTGCCACAGATTCAGTCAATAGCAAACTCCAGCTGATGGGACTGTCTGATGCTTAACAGAGTATCTGGATTTCTGCTTTGTTCACTGCCCTCGTGACTCCCACAGTTAGGTCTCTGCAAACCCTCCATAAACTGAGGTGGCTTTAACATAAAGGCCAGAATCATTGGGCAACGTTTCATAGACTAGTGGTCAGGGGTGCGTTCAATGGTCAAAGCCTAATATCCAAGTTGCAGTAATTTCACTAAAAGCTTTTTAGGGCCTTCAAGAACACGCTTTACCCATTGAACGTAGCTCCTCTTCCCTATGTAGGAGATGGAGGGTGGAAAGAAATCTTACCCATCATACAAACCCATTATACCAACCATATACTGAGCTGTGGTAGTAGGGTGTAGATGTATCATAACCATCATCATCTGCCAGCCAGCTCTGGCCAATAGCCATCACAGATTGGCGGCTGCAGTGGCAATGAGAACAACACACAGTTAATATACTGTTTAGCCCCACATCGCCCCTCAGTTCACCCCCTGCTGTGACTACAAACTGTGATTCAGCAACTCTGGTCTTGAAGAGCTGATTACACTTATAAACCAGAATGGTGTTTTTGTACTAGATGGCACCATTCAGTTGTCCAAAGAGACAGTACTGTGGCAGGATCCACTGTGGCATCACCACCAGCTTAAAATATCTCACTACTGTGGTGGAGTTGAACTAATCTCACCATGACCAGGGTTGAAGACCACCGATAAAAACGTTAACAACCTCAGTACCTAATTGTTCCACAGATGGGTTTCAATACATGTCTGGTAAAAACCCCATTGAATGCTTGGTGACCAGGCTGACCTTGTGCTTACCATTACAGTCCAACCAGGAGAGCTGCTCTTCCAGAGCTACAACGCCTAACAGTTAAAAGACAATGTGCCCTTTGACAGGCAAAGATGTTCAGGTTCACAGATGAAACACACTTCTACTTCTTAGTCATCTCACTTTTCCCATGATGCCCCAAATGAATGAAGCGGATCCCCTCCTAAACCAGACCATTAGTCAACTGATGACACGCATCAAACACAGACATACACACATCACACCAGACTTCAACATGCAGATTGTAGAACACACTTCTGTAAGAAGAGCTGACTGCGGTGATGCCATAAGCATCAGTGTTCTCATTAGGCAGTAGTCACTCGCCAAGTTGTTAGAGAAAGCTGCCACCCCAGTATCATTACAAAAATATCCATAATTAAAGGACAGAATCAGGCAGCACCTTCAAAACTACATAAGAAGGGTTTGGTTTGTGCCCCATGTTGGTACTCACAGTGCATGTCTCGTTCATGCTCATACTCAATGAATGCATAGCCCCGAGGCTTTCCCGTCCTCTTGTTGTACACTATGTAAATCTGGAACAAACACCATGGAGACACTGGTTAGCTACAGGGTTCATCACAGCACAGACAGGTGTGTTTCAGGTGTGTTTGAGTAAGCATACATCACAGTTTCATGATTCCAAAACCAAATATAAGCTTTGTGAATTTACTGTTTATTGTAGGTCAGCTGTGTTGCACTATGCACACAGATCTACTTTCACATTGACCATTTTCAGATAGATTTTTCCATGAGCATTTCCTGGCATATAATAGTATATATACAGCATACAACAGGAGTCCACACTTGTGCAAAATCTATGCAGTGTACTGCACAAGAAAATCTGCACTACCTTACAGTAATTGCATCATATCTAAGTTGAACAGTAGGCATCTGCTCTTATGTAAAATCACAAACTAACAGTTTAGATTTACTATATTATAAAGTCAGGCCTCACAGTACCTCAATACCGAGATTCAAATATGTTCCATTGGATCATTTAATATCATTAATATCTTCAGGTTGGGTTTTGAACATTTAAACAGTGTAGTCTTTACATTTACAGCAAACATGTGAATGGGTCTAAATGAATAAAGAGAAAATAAACGTACCCGTTTAATGGGGCCGTAGACCTCAAACTCACGGCGAAGCTTCGACTCTGTAGTATCATAGTTCTGCAACAAAGACATGATATTTAACATAGAGCTGTAAAAAAAACAAACAAAAAAAACAAAAAGAGAACTTAAATACAATAGTGTGATGTTACTCACCACTCGTGCAACAAACAAAGTCTTGAAGGCATCCCCTTGTGCGTTGGGATCATTATGGGGGTCCCCTAAAAATCACACAAACAGGAAACCAGGATTAGTTTGACCCAGTAAATCACAAGTCAAATCAAGTTTCTTCATGCAACATTTTTTAAAAACAGATATTCTAAAACAAGCAACGACCAAAATATGTGCAAAAAAGCAAGAGAGAAACAAGAATAAAAACTTCAAAGATCAATTCCCCCCAAAAAATGAATATACAACACTAACAGCAGTGAGATGTAGTCAGGCTCTTAATAATTTCCCAGCTTTTGTTTAACCAATCCAAGTGTATTACATGTTAAACTATCAATTAAAATATCAACAGCGTATTTACCAGGTAGCTGGTTAGTTTTGTAGCAGCACCAGCTACAGATGAGGCAACGAGGACAGACCAAGACCCCAAAACTATCTTTTCTAATGTATTTTATTTAGCCTGAGCTTGAATATGCAGCAATTCACCTCCTGGAGGCAGCTAAGGATGGATGTAACTGAGGTTGACTCTTTCAGATTTAAAGGACACAATTATCACAGACACGAGTAAGTCATTAGAATCTTTGAATAGAGCAGAGTTTGTGTTACGATGAACTGACTGGAATTTCTATGCATCACAGATAAGACAGAAGCTGTGCATCCAACACATTCTCCAAAACTTGGTACAATGGGAGCTTGGAAATGAGACGGAAATAGTTTAGAACTAATTTCTTGAGGTATGTTTTTTCCATTTGCAAGACTACTTTTATAATACGAGAAACATTATGTTCTCAGTGTTTCACGTTTTCATTAGAAGGTGTATAAGAACCAGATGGCAGGTAAGAAGAAGAAGTGGACTCAATGATTGTATCACAGATGTGGGACAAAAACACTGCATTAAAATCATTACACAGAGCAGACAAGGATCACAGGCTGACAGTAAATTAATAGATCGTAGGCAATCATTTTAAAATAAAAATAACTTTACAAGGGCCTCACAAATGCGCTTTGCCTAAATACAACAGAAAATTACGATGAGAAGGAGTCTGTCACAAACTTACAAAGCTTGAGTTCTGTCTCCACCACCGCTTGCCTCCTCTCAATCTTCTCTCGCCTCTGCAAAATGGAAAAAGATTTGCAGGACACAGTCAATCCTGAGCAATCACAGAGGCAGGTAATACTTTTACAGATTTATTTACAGGTTAGATGCTGGCTCCGGACTGCAATCCTTCTGTGTCTTTTAAAAAAAAAGAAAAACAGAGCCGGAAAGACTCAAGGCAATATTTGTAATTCACGTGACACTAGTCAATATGACAAGTGATATCTAAAACATAATAATGCATTAGCAGACAAAATCTACACTAACAGCCCAGCGGTAGTATTAAGTAAGCAGTGCACATATGACATGTACTTTTTGAAATATAGTTTCTACTTCATTTTCATGCATTCATCTACTGAGTTTGCAACCTGCTCTTTAACATGTTGTTTATGCCTGAATAAGATTCCTGGTCATATATGTTGTTCTGCAGAGCACAAGTCTGAAGCAAATGCTAGGAAAGTTAAATTTGCAGCAGGACAAAGAGAAGAACATGTCAAGGCTCCTGGTTTAATCTCACCTTTCTCTCCAGACGCTCCTCACGGGTTTCTGCTCTGGTTGGTGGAGGAGCATCTCTGGGATCCTGGTCACAAAGAGAACCGTTAAAACCAAATAAACATTAAGAGAAATCTATATGATACATGAGCATCCAGAGCTCAAATGCTCACCTCGAAGTGCCTGATGAACGGTGCGATGCCGCTGTACGGTTGGTTGTGGTGCTTTTCATGGGGCAGCTTCTCGAGCTGAGGGAGGAACGGTATTGGGTCCCGCGGAGCAAACAGGGCCAGCAGGTTCGGGGGTAGAAACTGCGTCATCTTTCACCTGAACAAACAAAATATGGAATTACTACATGGGCTCACATCTGATTTGCTGCCGATCCCACTAGTAAATGACAAACCAACGCCAAAAGAGCGGAAGTTCAAAGGACAGTTAGCCGGAGATGCTAACTGTTGTCTTCCTGCCGTCATGTGCTCTGTATGAACACGTTTCGTCTCTTGGTCAACCACGTTATTTACAAACAGCGCGGAAGTGACCGACAGATGTTCTCCGGTAACCGTTTCCGTTGTAGCTATAATCTTTGAATCACGTAACGCTGCTTTGGCATTAAACTTTGACGGAACCCTTAGCATTAGCCATTTAGCTAACTATGCTAACAAGGAACCTCCAACACGGGTCCTACCTGCTCTCCTCCGGTGTTCTACAAATTTCAGACCATGGAACGAAGGGAGAACCAAGCGGCGTAGGCAGGTCTCTGTAACGGGCCGCTGCACAACTGGACCAGCAGCAATTACAACGCGGTGGTTCGGGTCAACCTCACTGAGCGGTGACAACAAGTTAAATGTGTCCGACGCACTGCTCGGCTTCTCAAAAAGTAAAATGGCGGGATGCCGTAAGACGACGACAGCTGACGTAAAACTAAACCTGCAGTCGAATCAATGAGCAGCAGCAGCAGAGCGTCACTGGACACCGCGTTCCAAGTTATCATGCAAATTGTATGCAAGTGTCACAAAGATTAATTGTTTTGTTTTGCAATTAAACCCATGGACGGTATTGTGTCTCAGGGCTCTTTGTATCACTGAAAACAATATCAGACACCTGTGATAATTAGTTTGCCAGGTAAGCTCAAACAAATAAAAAACTAGTAAAGAAGGACGTTCCACATTATGAAGCAGACCACCATTTTCAAGCAATATGGGAAAGAAAAAGGATCTGTCTGCTGCCGAAAAGCGTAAAATAGTTGAATACCTTGGACAAGGTATGAAAACCTTCCCAAAAACTTAAGCGTGATCATTGTCCTGTTCAGAGATTTGTGGCTGAGTCAGAGCACACACGGGTTGGTTCAGATAAAGGTACAATGAGGAAGGTTTCTGCCAGACAAATACATCGGATTTAGAGAGCAGCTGCTAAAATGCCTTTACAAAGCAGCAAACTGGAGCTCCATGAACATGAAGGTGTAGGATCCTCCAGAGGCCTGCAGTTATGCATGCACCTTCTACTGGGCCGCCCCGAACCAGCGCTCACAAGCAGAAACGGCTGCAGTGGGCCCAGAAATACATGAAGACTAATTTTCAAACAGTCTTGTTCACCAATGAGTGCTGTGCAACCCTGAATGGTGCAGGTAGATGGTTGGTGGACGGCCACCATGTCCCAACAAGGCTGTGAAGTCAGCAAGGAGGTGGAGGAGTCATGTTTAGGGCCGGGTTCATGGGGAGAGAGCTGGTCGGCCCCTTTAGGGTCCCTTCAGGTGTGAAAATGACCTCTGAAAAGTATGAGGAGTTCCTGACTGTCCACTTTCTTCCATGGCACAAAAAGAAGAACTTTTCATTAGAAAATCATCTTCATGCATGACGATGCACCGTCTCATGCTGCAGCGATACCTCTGCATCACTGGCTGCTATGGGCATGAAAGGAGAGAAACTCATGGTGTGGCCCCCATCCTGCCCTGACCTCAACCCTATTGAGAACCTCTGGAGCATCCTCAAGCAAAAGATCTATGAGGGTGGGAGGCTGTTTACATCCAAACAGCAGCTCTGGGAGGCTAATCTGACATCCTGCAAAGACATTCAAGCAGAAACTCTCCAAAAACTCACAAGTTAAATGGATGCAAGAATTGTGAAGCTTCTATTAAATAAGGGGTCCCAGGTTAAAATCTAACTTGACCTGTTAAGATGTTTTTGACTATAATAGCGTTTTGATTTCAGTAAATATGAACTCCTCAGGCTGCTGATTCAACAAATGACCATTTTCAGTTCTTTACAACCTATAAAATGTTTTGGAACTCTGTTGTGCTTAATAATTTGGAACAGTGCATTTTAAGTTTTTTATTTTTGAAAAAAATACTGAAGTCATTGGGTGGTTTGTTCAATAACATTTGAATTATACTTCAACGTTTGATGACTTGAAAATTATGCTGCTGTCGTTTGCATCGACTATTTAGGAAAATCAAAGAAAAATCTAATTTGCATAATAATTTGGAACAGGGTGTATACATGTTAGCATGATGTTAGCAATGCTGACCCTTATTGTATATGTAAGTTAGCATGATGTTAGCATCACTGACCCAACTGTATACATGTTAGCAACACCGACACTCACTGTATACACATGTTAGCATTACTGATGTGTTTTTATCCGTCATTAGTGGGTTTGTCAGGACTGAACCAAAGTCTTACATTGCCCCGCATCGCAATAGTGTTTTGTTTTCCTAATTGACTGATTTATTGATTATTTTTTTTTTGGCTTAGGAAACAGTCAAAACCTCATCTGAGTTTAAAGGCAGCAGAGAAACATCTTTACTCTGATACATGAATACAAGTGAAAGCCATGATAATAACCGTGATGAGTTAAAATCAACTAAAAAAAATAAAACAATGCTTAAAAAGAAAAGCGGAAAGACTACATGCATCTATGTATATTTCTCTTTAATCTTCAGTCCTTTAATATAATTCAAATCAAAAGCTTTGTTTAAGGAACACATTTATGGACATGGAGACTATACCACTTTGTAATAAACTCATGAGTATAAATATCCTTCAGAACAGTTGTCTACTGCTCAGATTCTGTCAGTCTCCTGCTTTAAAAATGACACTGAGCACTAAAAGGCTACAAACAAAACCCACGGTCACGTCTTGAGGTTTGCTTAATGCACAACAAATTCTGCTGAAACAGCTCAGGTGAAGTCTGCACCTGTAAATGTCACAGGCTGACCCCTTTTGGATTTCAGCAGAATTAAACACGACATAACTTTGCTGCTTTATGTGGAATGTAAACACAGAAGTCGGACTGAACAAATAAGACCACTTTTCTGCATATTGGTTTTCAAGCAACATTTATATTTTGTTGGTCAAGTCATTTTATAAAGAGATTTAGTAACTTTCTCAACCTCAGTAACACATGCATACATTACACAGAGAGCAAAATAAAAGAACTGAGAAGTCAGTGTGTCTGAACCATCATTCAGCTGTGCAGCTCACTGACCGGTCCAGCTTGCATACCCTCTGCAAAGACACGGACACAGAGAAGTCGGGGGGGGATGCTGTAGTGTGTAGCGTCCTTCAGTACTGTACATGTTTCAGAGTGTGTATCGTGTTTCCCCTCAGCTCGGATTCTGATATAAATGGTTTGGTTGGGGAGACGAACTAGCATCTAATCCAATGCTATTAAAAAAATAGCCCTGTAATTAGTACCACGATTGCGAAACCTCTAATGGATACAGTCAACAAAAACTAAAAACTATAAGCTTCACAAACTTAGTATTTATTGCAGGGTTGTATACTGGACTGTATGAGCTCACAGGTGTGCATGGCAGCATCCGCCTCCTGAACATTGTGTTCATGAGGTTTTTTCTATGTGAGACATATTTACAGTGAGATTGAAGAGATCAGGGGAAAGACTTCCACAAAATGACCAAAAAAAAAAAAAAGTATAGACAGGTTGGGATATGAAAAAAAAAAAAGAAAATATTGGGCAAAAACCATTTGTGAAGGCCCAGATTGTGAGCGGAGGGCGGAACATTTATAAAAAGTCTCCCATCAGGCAGAGGAATGCAGCGCGCCCGGCTCCTTGTCATCCCTCTCCTCTTCATCCATCTTCCGTCCGTGTTTCCGGAAGTATTTGTAGCGCTGCACGTACAGCTTCACAAGGTTGCTGACTTTGACCGGGTTGATTTCTCCAGTGCGGCTGTGGCAGATCTGAGAAAACAGCACAGCGGGTAAAAGCCTGCATCAGTACAAAGACACCAGTTTATAATACTGTTCATGGGGTTTCACTGTCGGTCAGCTGTTTGTCCGTTTCAGAATCTCTTGAAACTTTGGCATCTGAAACTGAAATCTGTGCATTTTTTTAGCTGAAATTCCAACATTTTCAGAATGTTTCACCCAATGGAACTTTTCAGTAAATCATTCGCGAGTTGGAAACTGAACGAGATGCCACTTTTAGACGCCCATATCTCTTGAAGTATACGTGCTAGACTCTAAATCAGGGGTGTCGAACTGTGGTCCTCGAGGGCCGCAATCCTGCATGTTTTAGATGTTTCCTTCTTCCAACACACCTGATTCAAATGATCAGCTCATCATCAAGCTCTGCAGAAGCCTGATAACGATCCTGATCATGTGAATCAGGTGTGTTGGAAACATCTAAAACTTGCAGGATTGCGGCCCTCGAGGACCGGATGTTGACACCCCTGCTCTAAATCTTCAGTAGATGTTTTGAATTTCTGGTGAATGGAGAGAATGCAGCAAATCTTGTCAACCGATACTTAATTTATTTGCTTAAGGATTTGTTTAAAAATTGCAAATAATGTGGATTTTCAAAAAAAATACAAAAAATACACAGTGCTTAACAAATGTATTTGACCACCACCCAGTGTAGGGTTCATGCCACAGCTGCCCTAAATTAACAGCATTGGTAATTACCAAAATGAATTTTTATGTTTCTGTAATGTAGAATACGTGAATTTTCAATTTTACCTTTCTTATATATAAAAACAAACAGAAAAAAATAGTAATGCACATTATAATTTATTGGTTAAGCTGTCAAATTATAGTTATTTACTTGCATTCCTGAACAGAAAAAAATACTTTTAGTGGTTGCTTGATTCATTTCTGACTTCCCAGAGAAGCCCAGCGGTTCAGATTTGGGTATAAAAAGGTGAATTCAGTTTGAAATTCCTCATTCCTGTTCAAAATGGTAAAACGTGGAGAGCTGAGTGCGAATTAAAGCACTTCATAATGACGGATGGTCTATATGCATATATATAGATATATTTGTACAGTTTGTAAAAAATGAGACAGGTGGTCTAATAGATTTGTTAAGCACTGTATCTCGAACACATAGGATCTATTTGATTGATTTTATTGTGAGAACAATATCTGAATGACATCACTAATGCTTAGAAAGCTTCAGTAAAAATGGAAATTCTGGCCAATCAAAGTTGACACGGGTAAAAAAGTAATTAATTTCCAACCAGCCAGATGGACGTCTTGAATCATGAGTAGGCTGATGGAATTTAGGACAGTAAGAAATGGAAGTATCATCTACTTGTGTGGCAAGTTTCAAAATCCTTTGAAGACTCCAGGACGTAACCTTCAAGAGATACGGACATCTGAAAGTGGCATCTGGTTCAATTTCCAACTCGTGAGGGATTTATTGAAAATTTCTATTGGGTGAAAAATTATGAAAATGTTGGAATTTCAGCTAAAAAAAAAAAAAAGTCAGTGTCGGATGCCAAAGATCATTCCAACAAAGTCTCAACAGATTCTGAGATGGTCAAGCAACCACGTTGGCTGAGTCGACACTGTACGACCTTGATTCATGCTGTGGTTTTGTCAGTAGGCGTCACTTAAAATCCCCGTAGTAGCACGAAACTACCGTGAAGTCAGTCACGCAGCTACACACATGGACTCAATGACTCATCTGTTTTCTTATGCTGGGTGTAACTGGGTTTGTGTGCTGACCTTGTGCACAGCTTTCCTGAGGATGTCTTTGTATTCATCCTTGTTGATGTCTTTGCGCTGATAGTAAGGTTTGATGGCCAGTTTCACCTCCTCTACAGCACGCTCCTGTGTGTGCAGCTTCTTCAGGTACTGAACAGACACGTTCAATCAATAAGAATTACAGCAATCGTTACTATCATTATTATTACACAAGTTAGGAAATCATAACTAAACATTTTGAGTGTAATTAGCAGGATAATATTGTACACTGAAGTAATTTTGGGTGACACTTTAGCGATGATTGATGCAGCAGTAGGATACATATCATCCTTTACCTTATCAGGGTCTTTGCTCTCTGTGTCCCAGCCAGTATCACCAGAGCTCCCAGTCACTCCCGACAGCCCCACAGGCATCATGGTAGGTGGCGTCTGCGCACATCCACCAGCTATGGAGGGGTGCAGGTGAGAAGGGGGGGTTTTGGTGCAGCCAACCAACGGGAGGGAGCCGTGGAGAATGAACTGGGCCGGGCTCAGAGCAGGAGGCTGAGGCAGAGAGGGAGTGGGGGGCAACTGTGAGGACGAGGAGGCCGAGGAAGGAGGAGCATGCTGCTGGGACTGGTTCTGGTTGGCCTGGGAGAGAATCTGCACCAGAGACAGAGTGAGCCCAGGTTAGAGCCGGAGGTATGGCTTCTCAGAACCAGTTGTTCAGAGATTAAAAGTGCTCTGAGGGAAGAAACATGACTGTCATGGAGAAGAGGAGTGATCATACCTCCTAAAAACAGGAAGCGCATCGCTCATTTTCAAACATTAAGAAACTTGTGCTGCCTTGTGCACATGAAACGTGCCACAAATAGCTCAGTAACATGTGAATAAATAGAGCGATAAAGAGAAAAAAACACCACATTAACCTCACAGAGATAAAGAAAAGTTACAGATGTTTAGCATGAACACACCCTATCTGACACTGGAAAGGTCGGTGTGTGTTTCCTGAATCGTCTAATTCACCTCTACTACAAAGTGACCCATCTGCTCCTCCTAGCTAGCTTAGACAAGGGCTAAATTTTAAGTCCAAGAGGACTTAGTCAGAGCATCTCCAGAACTGCAGGTCTTGTGGGGAGTTAATGGTACTCAGTGGTTAGTTTCAATCAAAAGCAATTAAAGGTAGGACAACTGGTGAACTGAACCAAGGTTCACTGATGTGTGAGCGGAGTCAAGGCCGGCCTGTGTGGTCTGATCCGGTACGAGAGCTACTGTAGCACCAACCTTAATGCTGCCGTGACAGAAAGTGTCAGCGCTGAGGAGCTGCTGACTGCCTACGAAGGTCATGTGAGCATCAGAACACACAGAATCAGGCTTTCTTTTACACGACGTGGAATGCCAGGGTTTATCTGGAGACGGATGGGAAGACGGAAAGCCAGCAGTAGCAGCGTGATGCTGAGTTCTGATTGGGATTCTTGGGTTTCATATGGATGTTGCTTTGACACGTAGTATTTAAACTTTGTTCAGACCATCTAAACCTCATCCTGGCAACAGTATAAATCCTCCTGCCACATTGTTCAGGGATGGTTTGAGGAACATGACAAAGAGTTCAAGGTGCTGAATTGACCTCCAGATTCCTTTGACCTGATTGTGACTGAGCATCTGTGGGATGTGCTGGAAACAGGTCTGACGCATGGAGGACCAACCCTGCAGCTTCTAGGACCTAAAGGACCTGCTGGTACCTTCGGAAGTCTGTGCAGTCAAGAGCAAAGGGATCCTACATAACATGAGCAGGAGGTTTTTATGTTGTAGCTGCATGACACAACAGCACAGCAGCAGAGAGGAGACGGTGCTGAGCTGCAGTAAGCGTCAAAAGTTTAAAATCCTGCTTTTGCTGTGACTGCAGCTTAAGTCAAACGATTATTTTGAAAAATGTGTTGATGCTGAAAATATGTTTTCTAGAAGCACAACATCCCAAATGCATGATCAAGCAGAGCCTCCTCACAGCTCGATTAAATGTTTACAGGCTTCAATAACCCAAATATTAAAAATGCTCTTGTACATTTCCCCTTAAGGTTCCTTTTTAATGACAAACACAAAAGCACTGATTGTAAATGAAGACAAAGGATGAGTGTGTCCGTCTCTCACCTGGCTGGTCGCTTGAATGAACTCTTGTGCTTTTGCTCTGCTAGCGATATTAGCTTCTTCCATTTTGAAGAGCAGAGCAGTCACTGAGAGGAAGAATGAGACCATTAGTTCACCAAAAAGTCATATGAAGCATAATGTAGTATTTGGCCCCTTATCTAGGTCTGAATAAAAGCCGCATGTTGATAATGTCTAATAGATTTCATATCAAATTAACCTCCTGACAAGACTTACACATGGAAGCGGGGACTTAATGAAGTCACTGTATATAGAATTTAGAACTCAAACGGTGGATGCAGCGTTGACGATGCTTAGTCGTGTTACAGGGACAGGAGCCAGGTATGTATAGACATTATCCATCATTGAGCTGCAAGAGCCTGAATGACTTCATGTGAAGATATTTTTTCCAACATGACCAAAGAACATACATTTTAAAGAAACCACGTCAGTATCATTTGCCTAATTCACCTTATTGCTGAACATTTTCATAGCATAATACTGTGTCTTCCTGTATTTCTAATGCATTTTAATATACACGTACTCATGTAAACCATCACTGTGTCTCATTGCAGTTTGACGAGCACGTTAATGTGAAAAGTCTTCACAAAAATAAGTCGGAACCAGATGTTGTCGATCATGGCTTTCTGTCACAAGCAAGGAGGAAACTGTTAAATGTCAAGTCTGTGAAAGCTTCTGTTACGACAAAGAAATGGACTGAAACAAGTAGCGGTCTGTAAAACAATGTTTGTGTCCCTTCAAGGAGTGACTGACTTCTGTGCATCCAGGAAGTGAACTTACATGCTAAGACGCCTCCAGTTGTGCAGTCCACCCCGGTCTGCAGACTCCAGGGGAGGGCAGGAGCTGCTGGAGGAGGAGGAGGAGGAGGTGGCTTACTAGCAGACGAGGAGGAAACCGACGAGGAGGAGGAAGGGTCAGACGAAGACATGGGCAGAGAAAGAGACGTGAGACCACAGCCTGCAGACGAGGACGAGCTTGGAGGTGAGGCCAGAGATTTTGGTGCATCATCTGGAGGCGAGTGCTTGGCAGTAGGAGTAGACAAGGCGTTGCTGAGCCCAGCACCCTGCGGGGTGGACAGGCTGGACGGGCTGGACGCTGGGAGAGTCGGGCTGGTCTGGTTCGGACAGTCCTCAGCTAGAAACAAAGGGTCCGGAGTCTTACAGCTGCTGTCCACTGTCTGAGAGTCTGGAGAAGACTCTCTCATGTCCCGCAGAGGAGCAGTAGATGGAGGAGGAGTGTGCGGTGGAGAGGAGGATGGAGGCAGTACACTGGTGGAGGAGGAGGTGGAGGAGGACGAGGAGGAAGAACAGGGCGCAGGGCCAGCTTGGCCCGAATGTGGACTGACTGACTTGCCTCCATCTCCAACAGCTGACTGAACATCTAAGGAGGCTCCTCCCCAGCCTTCAGACCTAGCTTTCATTTGGCTGGTGTCTCCAGCCGCCAGGCCTGCAGCGCCGCCTTTTTCTCTGGTCTTCTTGGCCAGGCGACGGCGTCGCTTGGTTGCCAGAGAAGACGAGGGAGAGGAGGCAGAGGAGGAGGTGGATGTGATGGAGCTGGGTTTTGTTTTCTTGGATTTCAGTCCTGCAGGACCGGCTAAGGATGACGGCGGTACAGACATGCTGCTCCGTTTCCCGATGCCGGTCAGGTCTTTACTGCGGCCGCTCAGCGACAGCGGCTCTGAACACGGTTTGAGGAACGGTGACCTGCTCTCATTGTCTCTGCAAAACACTACTGCAATAGATCCACCCACCACTGAGCTCCCAGCACCACCTCCTGTACCTCCTGGACCTAGGAGGTCCATGCCCAGCTTTCCAGAGCTAACCGAAGCGCCTGTAGTGCTGCTCACACCCTCACGTACCAGCACTGACACTTTGGACTGAAGTTTACCTTTCCGACCGCCACCACTCTCCTTCTTGGATTTGCCAGAACGACTCAAATCCTTTCTGCTGCCTTTGTCCCGCTCTTTGTCCTTTCCCATTTTGCGGGCTCTCTTCACTGAAGGGAGGCCCGCTGGGACAGAGCCCGAGCCTGAGGTGACCGTCAGGGAGGACAGGCATTTGCTTTTGGTTCTATTGGAAGAGGAGGAGGATTCCGACTGGCCAATTTTCTTTAATGTTCGAGACTTTTTTTTGGGGTGATGTTGTCCAGTCTTGGGTGTAGCTTTAGTTTTGGGGCTGAGGACAGGCGGTTCCGGAGGAAGAGCAGCAGGAGGCGTATCCTCCAAAGATGGGTAGTCTGAGTCCAAAGCCTCACCGTCCAAAGACAACACATCGATCTCTAACTTGTCCGAGTAGCGGTCTGATTCGTAGCTGTGATACCTCGGCGGCGAGAGCGACTGGGATCGGCTGCGACAACTTTCCCGGTCCTCCACCTCTCCAGCCGAGTGCCATTTCCTCTTCTTCTTCCTCTTGTGAGGCTTGTCGGAGTCCTGTGTGGGCTCTCGGGGAGAGGACGGGGCCAGTCTGGGGGATCCGGGGACAGTGGTGGTGGTTGTGGTAGTTGTGACTGTGATGGTTCGCTTGATAGCAAAGAGGTCAGACCCGTTGAGGTCCTGGATGGATGGAGGGACCACAGGCCGACCGTCCCGCCTGCGTTCCCTCTCGTGCTGCCGGTCTCGGTCAGCCTCCCTCTTTTCCCTGCTTCCTGAAGATCTCTTTGAAAGACCTCGCTCTCTGCTGCTCGAATGATGTCTTCCCTTCCTTTCCCTCTCCCTCTTTCTAGAGCTAGAATCTCTGTCTCTTTCATCTCTTCTGTGGCTACTGGTGCGATTTTGTTCTCTGTCTCTCTCTCTGCCTCTGTCTCTGTCCCTAACTCTGTCTCTGTCCCTGTCCTTATCTCTGTCCCTCTCTCTGTGCTTTTCTTCTGAAAGGCTTGAGAAGGAGCGTCTAGTGTGGCTTCTTCCTGAAGAGTTGTAGGATCGGGATGCCTCTGGACTGCTGTGCTGTCTTTTCTTTCTCTTCCGGCTGCTGCTCCTGCTGCTCTTCCTTGCTTTCACCTCTTTCCCAGCCTTGTGTCCTCGCTCCTTTTCTTTACTCCTTTCATTAGTCCCTTCTTTGCCCTTCCTTCTCTTTTTTCTTCTCACCTCCTTTTCACCTGCTTTCCTATCTTTGCTTTTCTGTCGGTCACAGTCCTTGGAACTCTTGGAAGACTTGCGGCTCTTGCTACCCTGCCCTACTGAAGGTGTGAGGGGGGAGGAGGAGGCAGAGGCTGGAGGAAGAGAGGAGGGAGGTGGTAACTGAGGAGAGAGAGGGGAAGAAGCAGGAAAGGAGAGATATCTTTCCTTCCTTCTGCTGACCAGCTTCCTTCTCAGATCCTCCACTCCTACAACAGGCTCCTCCTCAAGCTCCCTGTCTACCTCCCAGTTGCCCTCCGTGCACACGGACACAAAGCCGTCCTCGTCCAGCACCCGGAGGATGCGTTCTGGCTTTGAACCAAAGAAGGAGACGCTGGGAGAGCTCAGGGGGAGGACTTCCTCAGCAGGCCTCTTATTGATCCCTTCTCTGTCGGCCGCTCCTACGATCTCCCCCTCCTCTATCTCAGAGAGGTCAGAGTTTCCACTCTCGCTGTGGCCTCCAGCTTTGGAGGAGCGACAGTCCACCCTCCTCCTCAGAGGGAGTTGAGTGGGCAGGCAGGGCTCAGTCAAGGTGTCAGTGGAATCGGGAGGTTCTTCCTCCTTCTCCTCATCCTCCCTCTCGCTGTTTCTCTGCACCATCCTTACGTTTCCACTCCCACCATCGACATCTGATGCCGGGGAACCAGTGGGGTCAAAAGGGTCGTATTTCTCCCCTTCCCCTTCCTCTCCCTTCACCCTTCCCTCTCTGTCTCCATCAGTTGGACTGAAAGGATCGTACATTTCCCTTTTCTGGCCCACTTCTTCACAATCAACACTTGGCTGCATTGAAGTGTGAGGTAAGCAGTCTGAAGAGGTGGTGTTGGACGTAGGTGTGGAGACAGACTGTGCAGCTAAAGAGGCAGAAGTGGAGGAGACCCTGGCCACCTCTGTCCCCCTGGTCCGACTTTTTACATGGTTTTGATAAGCCGAAAAGTTGGCACAGACAGAGGAGGATGTAGACAACGGTGAAGACGGATCAGAGGAAGGAGACGACAGCGACAGGGAGGGTGAGCAGGGAGGAGGGCTCCTGGCAGCCTCTCCAGCGCCACCTGGGGAAGAGGAGGCAGCAGGCCTCCTTTTGAAGCCTGGTGCTGGAGTCAAGTCCATGGGCCAGGAAAACTGGTGGTGCAGATGTCAGATCGTTGGACCTGGAGGTTGGTAGTCCACGACAGCAAGCAGGGGTCCAGGAACCAGCCTAGCAGACAGAAACAGGACAGGCAGAATCTTAATCTTACAATTATAATGTAACCTGAAATTCCCAAACCAAAGGAAAAATGTAGTTGAGATAAAACTCATGGACAATTAAGAGTAGGAGAACACTTATTGTTGACTACATTGTGCTGTGCTGCTGTTGTCTGCCATCAAAACCCCAAACCATTTTTTGTTCTGTTTCAAGTTTCTAAAACAACCAGTGGCTGGCTGATATCTGATGCCTTACGTCAGGTAAAAATATTGATGGAGACACATTTTCAGTGTCGATGGCAGTGAATATGTCAGTTTATTGTAGTGGATCTAGTTAGAGGACGTTTAGCATAGTGTCTCCATTAGTGTCCCCCACTGGAAAGCACTAAAAGGTTCACTTATCACCTGTAGAAGGTTATTGCTGAACACATCTCGGTTTTCAATTACCAGTTGTTAGATGTTATCCTGAAAAAAAACCCCAAACTAATATTGTAATCTGTAAAATACTAATATGAAGTATATGGAGTAAAACAAACTACAGTAGATTAAATAAATGCCCCCACGGATTACAGTCACTTGTTCTGCAGATGATCACTTTAGGGTACAACACCTGAACAACCCACTGGACCCACCTGGAGGCCCCCTGCAGCTCTGAGCAGTGTTGGCAGTATAAGAAGACCTACACAGTATTCTGGATGTGGTTTTAGTATTGTGGCTGATCCATTTTGCTGTTGTTTAGAGTTCTGACTGACTCGGTGTGTTGTCGTGTGTGAAGCTAACTGTGCTCAGCGATGCTAGCAGGACTGTTGACGCTTAATGGCCGGTTAACGCCGCCGGCTCTCCCCGAACATCTCGTTGTTGACGGTATCCACCTGAACTACATCATTCGGAATACAGTTTTGTCACTGATGGTAAAATACACCTGATTTAGTGACAGGCGTTTTCTCTGCAAAAAGGTGTCGGCAGCAGCCTGCTAGGTGGCTAACTTAGCTTCCAGCAGCTAGCATTAATGAGGCAACAAGAAGCGCTGTGTGCTGATGAGTTACCTTCAGCCTTCAGTCCGAGAGCAGAGTCCCGCTTCGCATGTACCGGGAACCGTTTTCAATAAATGAGCTGCCAAAATGAAGCATCAGCTGCTTTTTGCCGTTTTAAAAGCGCAGCAGCAGCCCTGTTCCATTAGTCGCCGCCATCTTCCTCCCTGAAACCGGACGACTAAGAATCATGGGAAACTGAGTTCTGTGCGCAGTCGTCGGAGATTTAAAAATTTATTTACGTAGAACATTTGCAAAGAAAATGTGCAAATATATCACAGGCTGGTGTGAAGCAATACACATGGCTTTCATGTAACAGGAAACGGAGAAAGAAACGATATAAACACACAGATCGTCATCATTACCGGCGTGGATCTGATATATGACAATTGAAATATAAATAAATGATCAATTTTCAGTATTTGTTCTTTTGAGGATCATTCTTCTCCACACCAAACAGCCTAATGCTGATTTGTCTTTTGAGGGAAATTATTCTGCTTTTTATTGGAAAAAGCTCATCACCCATCTATAAACTGCTGCATCATGCAGAGGGTCACTCACAGCCAATTTAAAACCATCTCTTACCGGAGTGTGTGTTTGGACTGTGTGAACCCCACACAGGGAGACTAACACGGAACTTCTAGTTACAGTTTTAAGCTCACATCAGACCAAAAGGTTCCTGTGTGTTTTTTTCCTCAAGACTTTTACAATTTACTCACAAACAATCTATTTCCTCATCTAAAAACACACACAAAAAGCAACAATTCACAGAATAACAACTGTGAATTATTTTGAATGCTCTCTTTCTTATTGGTTAGTGAGTGTTTTCTTGGTAACAGTTTATGTTTTTAAAAGGAAAATGAATTTAAAATAAATAAATGCAGGACTGGACTGGTTTTAGTCTACCAGGACCATCTGGTTTATTGCATCGCATCTTGGTTGCTCTAATAGCACATTTTTGCACTTTATTTTCCCTATTTAAAAAAAGACGAAATAAAAAAACGTAACGTGTGAGCTACTGGATACCTTGAATTTCCCCAAAGCTAGGAATAAAGTATCTATCTATTATCTTTTTTATTATCTGTATCTATAATCTATCTATCTATCCATTATTTATTTATTATCTATATCTATAAACTATCTATCTTTTATTTCTTTCTTTCTTTCTTTCTTTCGTTCTTTCTTTCTTTCTTTCTTTCTTTCTTTCTTTCTGTCTGTCTTTCTTTTTGTCTGTCTGTCTGTCTGTCTGTCTGTCTTTCTCTTTCTCCATCCTTTTGCTGCTGATGGAGGCAGCATCTCGGATGAGAGTTTAGGACGATTCCAAGCTGCGGTGACTGACGGACTTCTGGAAAAGTCCCAAAATATAACGTCATTTTCTCAATGCTAAATCACTAAACTGTCATCATTGTTAGAATTATCAGAATTTCTGATTATATTTTTGTTTCTATATATTTTTGGACTAAAAAAATAAACATAAAAGTCCACTGTACTCCCCCTGCAGTCTGGTGAATGGTTCGGTCCTGCCGCTAGCAGGGCGGGGACGCTGCGTCCATCCTCCATTACTGTCTGTTTCCCCGAGCTGAGAGGTACCAGAGATTCTGAGAGGTCTTTGAGGTTTTAGAGGTTCTGTCTACATCCCTACAGCAGATCAACATGGTGAGTTGTGTGCTGAAGCCTCGTTAAAGCTCATGTTTCAAGCCTCGGTTCGACCTGTGAGAGCTAAAAGCCTGCAGATGGATGAAATCTGCCGGGCCCGACACACACCGCGTCCTACTGCGATGAAGTCTGTTTCTGAGCTACTGGTTGAATATTTACGGCTGCAGCGGTAACCGGCGACCTTCTTGCTGCGAGGCAAGAAGGTCGCCAGTTCTACGTGGAGTTTGCATGTTCTCAACGTGGGTTCTCTCCGGGTTCTCCCACAAAACATGCTGAGGTTAATTGGTGATGCTACATCGTCCGTAGGTGTGAATGTGAGTGTGCTTGGTTGTCTGTCTCTAAGTGTGGCCTTGTGATAGACTGGCGACCTGTCCAGGGTGTCTGATACCAGCGACCCTAGTGAGGAGACGTTTAGTGTCTTATCCCAGACGTTCATCTCATCTTGCCTGTACTACTGTGTATGTACAGCAAAATGACAATAAACCTGATTTGATTGGATTTTTTAAATTTATTTATTCGTGGATAAGAAGGTTTATGTTTAAATAAACTGTCCATCTGGCTGCTTGTTTCCTTTGTTCTTCTGCATTTCAGGTTTTGACTTCATCATGTAATGTTGAAACGTAAGAATGTCTTTCCAATCACTGACTGTGATAAACTGTTGTCCTCCTCCAGCGCGAGTGCATCTCCATCCACGTGGGTCAGGCCGGAGTCCAGATCGGAAACGCCTGCTGGGAGCTCTACTGCCTGGAACATGGCATCCAGCCGGACGGACAGATGCCCAGCGACAAGACCATTGGAGGAGGAGATGATTCCTTCAACACGTTCTTCAGCGAGACTGGAGCTGGAAAGCATGTCCCCAGAGCCGTGTTCGTGGACCTGGAGCCGTCTGTCATCGGTACGTAAACTCTCTGATTTGGTGCCACGATCTGTTTCTGAGTTCAGCTGGTGAAACTGGTGTGACTGATTCTTTAGATGAGGTTCGCACTGGAACCTACCGGCAGCTGTTCCACCCCGAGCAGCTGATCACTGGCAAGGAGGATGCTGCCAACAACTACGCCCGAGGACACTACACCATTGGCAAGGAGATCATCGATCTGGTTCTGGACAGACTCCGCAAACTGGTGGGTCCATTCAGAGCTGTTGCCTTCAGATATACCTTCAAAGCAGCACATTAAATATTTATACATCTATATTTGGTTGCTGGTGCTCTTCTGCCCTCAGGCCGACCAGTGCACCGGGCTTCAGGGCTTCCTGGTGTTTCACAGCTTCGGTGGTGGAACCGGTTCTGGTTTCACCTCCCTGCTGATGGAGCGTCTGTCTGTGGACTACGGCAAGAAGTCCAAGCTGGAGTTCTCCATCTACCCAGCTCCCCAGGTGTCCACAGCGGTGGTGGAGCCCTACAACTCCATCCTGACCACCCACACCACCCTGGAGCACTCCGACTGCGCCTTCATGGTGGACAACGAGGCCATCTACGACATCTGCCGCAGGAACCTGGACATCGAGCGCCCGTCGTACACCAACCTGAACAGGCTGATCAGCCAGATTGTGTCGTCCATCACTGCGTCTCTTCGCTTTGATGGCGCCCTGAACGTTGACCTGACAGAGTTCCAGACCAACTTGGTGCCCTACCCTCGCATCCACTTCCCTCTGGCCACCTACGCTCCGGTCATCTCCGCTGAGAAGGCCTACCACGAGCAGTTAACCGTGGCTGAGATCACAAACGCCTGCTTCGAGCCAGCCAATCAGATGGTGAAGTGTGACCCTCGTCACGGCAAGTACATGGCCTGCTGTCTGCTGTACCGAGGCGACGTGGTGCCCAAAGACGTCAACGCTGCCATCGCCACCATCAAAACCAAGCGCAGCATCCAATTTGTGGACTGGTGTCCCACCGGCTTCAAAGTCGGCATCAACTACCAGCCGCCCACTGTGGTTCCTGGAGGAGACCTGGCCAAGGTGCAGAGGGCCGTGTGCATGCTGAGCAACACCACCGCCATCGCCGAGGCCTGGGCCCGACTGGACCACAAGTTCGACCTGATGTACGCCAAGCGGGCCTTTGTCCACTGGTACGTGGGAGAGGGGATGGAGGAGGGAGAGTTCTCTGAGGCCAGAGAGGACATGGCAGCCCTGGAGAAGGATTATGAAGAGGTTGGAGTTGATTCAATGGATGGTGAAGGAGAAGAGGAAGGAGAGGAGTAGAGCCAACACAAGTGTCACTACTGTAAACCTGAGCACTGTAATGTAGTACAATCAAATGCTACTTTACTACCTGTAGGCCAGTGTTTGTTTCTGATTACTGCTAATAAACTGCATAATTCAATGTCGGCTTGTGTTTTCATTGTCAACACTAGGATGTGATGTGTGTGTGCAGCTTTTTTCAAATTGGAATTCACGCATCACCATAATGACGGCGGAGTGGTGGAGGACAGTCTGGTGGTTTGGGCTGTTTTTAAGGTAAATCGGATTCACTTTAAATGGTGCCAAATCAGAATATACAGCAGCTGAACTCTGAACAAATGTGGGTTTCTCAAAAGGTTTAAGGAGTCTGATGCTTTTTTCAAAGGAAAGCAGCTGTTGCAGTGAGGAAAACGTGGCTTCCTCCAGTTTACGCTGTGAGAAACATCTCGCTATCAGCATCCTCCGAGTCCAAAAAGGAGGCTGAGGAGAAGATATTCAGCCTGAACCAGCTGCACAACTGTCACTTTGTAATTGGTTTAACAGGGATTCCCGATGTTTTGGATGATAAATCCGAAGGTGGAAGTTTCCATAGTCTTTGTCAAAAACAGGAAAATACACCTTTAGAGGTTTTAAAGCATCAGCATCTGCTGGATGTTGCTCATTGGAACATGCTTGCTCTGTGCAATTAATAATCTCAGATAGGAAGCTCAATAATCAATATAATGTCCCTGATCGAACAGCTGACTGACTTAGATGTTGGCCTTGAAAACATGTATGATAGAAGCTTTCTCTTGTCGTTCAGTAGGACAGAATTCAGTTTGTTTTTGAAGGTTTATTGTGTAACAGAAAACGTGTTGCTGGTGACGTTTATAAGACAAACTCAACACATCCAGATCATAAACTGCATATAATATATACAGTTCTATGGAGGTCTATTGCAAAATGATGTAAAGATTTATTACTTCAGTAGCAACTCCTTGGATTTACATGTTTTATATATATGAAATACCTACAGAGCTCTGCAGGGTCACAGGTTCTAGTGGCCAGAAAGCAACTGCAGTAAAACCTGTCTGCCTCTAAACTAACTTTAAGGTTCGATATAAGAGTTCAGATAATGTGACAGTCGCTGCACAGCAAAGCACTGATGTCTCGTACAGAGGAAGAACTGGGACTTCTCATATGAAGCATGAATTATCAGTGTGTTTATCAGGACACATAAATTCCACTTCTGGTGTTTATTAAGACTCGAAACATGATTTGTTCCCTTGCAAACAGAATAATTCTGGGCACTCAGCTGTTCGCATTACAAACTAGGATTATATTTCTGGGTGTCATTTCAAGAACTCTACACTAAATAAAAACTCATTCATTTTGCACCTTTATTCGAAAAAAAGAAAAGAAAAAAAAAACACAAAGCAACCCCACAGTAGTTCACTAAATCAAATACAGCAATGCAAAGAAGCACAAGGGCGTCAACCCAACTTAAACTGCTGTCAGAGCTGAAGAGTCTTTGGAAAATTGCCTATAATTTATTAGTTGTAAACAATTCAAAAGATATGCAACGTGTACATTAAAAACATTACGGGAATGTCCACTCAATGCACATTCAGTACCTCCTCGTTAAAAAACAAAAGGACCAATGAGAACTGACAGTTTGCCCGGAAAGTCTAAACTTTTCTTTTAAGACTCGAGACCACTTCTCTTGAAAGCTTGGACTTTCTAGAACAAACGTTTCGTATGATCAAAGTAACTCAGCTCCAAAAGCGTTTAACTCAGAGTAAAGCCTCTAACGTATCGAGCAGCAAGAACACATCAACTTAAAGCTGTTGCAGAGAGAACACAATAAATAAATCAGTGCTGAAAGTAAAGTAACAGTCGAGTGAAATCTATTAAACAGATTCCACGGCAGGTTGTGCGTTTGTAGTTTTCTGGCGGTTTTCTTTATCCGGCCGCCCTGCTGCTGTTCGTACCACCTGATGATGCTCTCAGAGCTAAATTAAAGATGGACGCCGTAACACATTCTCTCTTACATTCAGACATGTCAGTTAGCCTCGGCAGCTACAAGGTCAGAACCAGAGCTGTCTCTGAAACACCTGCTGTACAGGTGAGTCTGGCCTTATTTTATACTTTCCTTAGAATATGAAAACATACAATAAAGCCAGTCTCCTCCTTTACACTGGCAGCAGGCTACAGATTGTATCAGTTCTTATTAGTATGTATAAAACAGAACACACTATACGAAATGTCAAAAACCCATGATTTTCTTCATTTCAGCACTTTGCCCACTTTTCCACAAAAAAAAAAACGTAGCTTTTCTAAAACGAAAACCCGAAAATCCCAACATTAAGCAGCCTTTCGTCACCTTAACTGTCAGCGGGATGGATCAGTTAAACGTGCAGCGCCTTCGTCACGAACCTGGACTGAAGCTGAACAGATGATGTTTAGGATTTTATCAGCAGCACAACAGCTTGGAAACGACTGCTGGTGTTTATCGGCTGTGATTGTCGCCGTCTGACAACACTAAAAGAAAACCTTGAAGAATAGAACCACTACACGGTGATTTCAGCTGTATGAACACAGTACAGAAGAGCACAGAGACTGAACAGAAGAGGCAGAAACTCTCAGTGTTTCTCTAACGCACAAGCTGCTGTCATTAACTGAGGTTGGTTTCTTCACTTCTCTTCAGCGAAATACGGATTCATGTTGTTCAGGTATAATTTTGAGAAAGCTGGAAACACGTGAATAAAAGCTGCTTTTACGTAAAAACACTGCTCTGACATTTTTTCTGAGTTTAATGTAAATAGTCTGTAAAGTGGGATCTTTTGCCCTTTGCTACTTTTATAGACAAATAATAATAATAATAATAATAATAAAAGCTATTTTTATGTGCCGTCCTTGTAAACAAGATCTGAAAACTCTTCTTAAATCGCCGCTGATGTTTAAAAACTGCATTTCAAAGCAAACGGTGGACTTGAAGGCAGTATTTGGCACACATGATGTACTTCCAAGTACAGTTTTCTTTGTCCTGACCTCTGAACTGATCGGTTTATGTGACGGAACTCGTCTCCCCCTCTTCCATGTCGGGGACAGAGTGTGAATTTGGCGGACAACTGGGCGAACGTGTTTGGGCGGACAGGAGGAGGTGGCGCTGCTACATGAGGACGGAGGTGAAGGGTGGAGCGTCTCAAACTAAACCCTTTGTCTCGTCAGCAGCCTCGCTTTGACAAACACTTGAAATCGGGCCGATTGCATCTCCTGTCGCTCTGTGACTCAGAACCTCTGCGGCAGAAGAAGCTCAGAGCAGCTGGATTCAGTCGGACCTCCTGCTTCAGACCAGACCAGCGTCCTTGGCCATCTTGTAAAAGGCTCCTCTTTGACTGATGAGGCTGGAAGGAGAGTCAAACTCTGCCATCTCTCCTTTGTCTAACACCAGAACCCTGGAGGAGAAGGAAGATAGTTGAAATTCCTCTACACCTACGAACACTGACGTCTGCAACACGTCGTCCACGGCAACGACTACGTCTTGCCTGATAAACTTCAGATTACCAAAAAGCACCATTGTACTAATGTACTTAACAAAATCTCTGGACTACTGGTGTCATCATACACAGAAACATGCAGGCGTTCACACATGAAACTCGGTACCTGGTGTAGTCCATGATGGTGTTGAGGCGGTGGGCTATGGTCAGGACGGTGCAGTCCTCGAACTGGGAACGGATGGTGGACTGGATCAGGTTGTCTGTCTCCATATCTACAGCTGCCGTGGCCTCATCCAGAACCAGGATTTTGGTTTTCCTCAGCAGAGCTCTGGCCAGACACAGCAGCTGGCGCTGACCCACACTGGAGGGAAACAGATCAGTATGTCAGCTACCTGAACAATGCTGCGTCCGGTGCTGATCCAGCTGCTCTGTGTTTTCATGCATGGGCCCGTTTCTGCTTTACTTTGGATGAACTTACTAAAAACAATAACTCTGTAGTTAAACTCTTTCTTTACAGACACGCTGAGGACTGTTAGCTCCTGATGGTGAGGTGAAGTCGGTCGTCTAATAAGGACCAAACAAAAGCTGGCACATTAATTCCAGTCGCTTCCACTGCTGCTTCTGGGTTCTGTTTAGTTAAGGTAAAGGTCCACTTTCTCACCTTGAAGAGTACCAGAAGAATAAATTCCCTCTGAGGGTTGTTATTCAGCGTTTAATGGGACAAAAACAGTTTCTTATCCAAGTTACTGTAATTTCTGGACTATAAGCTGCAACTTTTTTCACACGCTTTGAACACTGCGGCTTTAACAATGATGCGGCTAATTTATGGATTTTTACGAATTTTCCTCGGGACCAAAGTGACATTGAGAGCGACAGAGAGACTAAGGAAGTGTGTGACGAAGGAATTCTGAGGCCGTTCAACTCCGACACTGCAGAAGACGACTTTAGCGGTTTTAGTGCAGGAGGAAGATGAAGATAGCGATCAGTGACTTTTCCTGGTAGCTGCTGGAGTTTTTTTATTTTCTTAACCAGCTGTGTTACAGGAACTGTTCAGAAAAAAGCATTTACGGTATTTGTGTTTGTTACCGGATCATATTTAATTAAAAGTTAAAAACATCTTTCTGTGTAAATATCTCATGTTCCAACGTGGACACCTGCAGCTTATAGACAAGTGCGGCCTGTACATGTACACATTTTGTTTTCTTTTTACAGTTAGTGGGTGCTGCTTATATTCAGGTGCGCTCAATAGTCTGGACATTACGGTAACTCTTCCTTCAGCTCTCACCTCCCTCATCAACAGCTTCCATCTACAGGCTCACTTAGCTGAAGCTTCTGATCTGTTTCTACTGGATTTCTGCTGATTAGATGACTGCAAGAGTTGGAGGTGCTGCTAACATAAGTACTGGATGAAGCATGCACATTTTTATGTCTTTCGTATCTATTTGTTCCAAACAAAAGCCTGGTTCTCGGTGCAGCATATGAGGCAGCTGTACCTGAGGTTCTCTCCTCCTTCGCTACACTCGTGGCTGAGTTTGTCGGGCAGACCAGACACGAAGCTCTTGAGATGGGAGAACTCCAGAGCCCTCCACACTTCCTCATCCGAGTAGGAATCGAAGGGATCCAGGTTCATCCTCAGAGAGCCTGAGAACAGAACCGGGTCCTGGAGAGAAAGGAGAGTCGTGTCAGTGCATCACATCGGCTGCTTACAGAGCCTTCAGAGGGACTAAAGCAGAACTGGCTTCATCTTCTGCATGTAGAGTCACTAAAACCTCACTTAAGTCAGACATGCTCTCGTTTCATTAATCTGACAGCAACTAAAGGGGTCCGAATGAGAACTCTGGTCACTAAACACAGCATCTATTCGTTTAGAATGAGTCTGCTATCACATTGTTATTGTATTTTATAGGTTTTATAGGTTTGAATGGAGCCGTGAGAAACATTAACGGACAAGAATCACTTCTACACACTCATTAAACCTGCAAAGTTACAGATCTTGTGTCTGAAAAGAGCTTCACGCTGTCTTCAAGTTTCCTTGAACCTTAAAAGAACGCAGCAACATTTTGAATGAATACATACGATGAAGACTTAAACCAGGTGCCACCTTTCAGTTCTGCATCTGGTGACGCTCCGCTGCCTGACAGCTGCTGGACCACTGACCTGCGGTATGATGGTGATTCTGGAGCGGAGCTCGTGCAGGCCGAGCTGAGAAATGTCCACGCCGTCGATGAAGATGCTTCCCTTGGACGCTTCGATGATCCGGAACAGGCCCAGCGTTAAGGAGGACTTTCCTGCTCCAGTCCGGCCCACAATCCCGACCTGGTGGGAGGAAGGAAGAGCTGATGGTAGAGGCCACGGACGGTACACAACCAGTACACAGAGAAGTTCACACACAGACCTTCTCTCCCCCGGTGATGCTGATGCTGATGTTGCGGATGGCCAGGTCCAGATCTTCTCGGTATCGCAGACCGAAGCCTTTGATGTCAATGCAGCCAGTGGTTGGCCAGCCTGGAGGAAGGCTGGAGGACTCGTGTGTCCACTCTGCCTGGAGGTCAGAGCACAGAAGTGTACTTAGAAACATCCATCACAGCCCCTCAACCCCTGCAGTACCTTTCATTCTGCTTCCTGTATCTCTGTGTGGAAGAAGTATTCAGACCTTCAACCTAAAACCCTCAAAATCTCAAAGTATAATCAGCAAATCGTACTTCAAATACAAAAATCCAGCTGTCACGAGATTTCATGTGACTCCAGATGCTTTGCACCAAACCCTGCACTAGATGAAGTGAAGAGAAGACCACTCCAGTTACCTCTTTCTCCGTGTCGCTGTACTCTTTGACCCTCTCCACAGCCACGATGTTGGTCTCCACGTCGGAGGACATCCGGACCAGCCAGGTCAGGGAGGCAGTGAGCTGAGAGCAAACACACATTTATGGAGGGTCAGCTTACACAGACTGCTATCACATTTCTGCCTTCACACCAACGCAATGGGGTTGAAAGAAACTTAGGCAACAGCAGCAGATTGTAGCAGTGAAACATTTTAAAATTCACTTAGATAATCCACAGACCTTACAGAAAAGATTTCCATGGTGGTGGGTGTTTATTTATTCTGAAATCCTCCACTAGAGTCTGTTGGTGAATGCTGATTTAAAGAGCTACTGATAGAGAATGAAGGTTAGGCTCCTTGTAAGTAAATGTTTCTTTGAGGTGTGAAGTGTCTGAACAGTCAATTCTCATTTAGTCGCACTAGAGGTTCCTTCTGTTCTGTCCGTCTGTTACGACCCTCAGAGGGAGGATAAAGTGGAAAAGGACACGATTCATATACCAAATAATCCACGAACGACTGCACAAAGTAATCATTGCTTAACTTTGACTGAGCGGTTTGTTTGTTTCTGACTATGAAGCACATCCAGGTCAGCGTCTACCTGCAGGGCGTAGGAGATGGACAGTCCCATGATGCCCGGGCTCAGACTCTCTCTGGCGATGACCGCGAACAAAGCGGCGAACGACACGATGCAGTTTCCTACGAACTCCAGGCGAACTGCCAACCACCTGAAGATATTCAATGCAACTTCTGTGATTAGAAAACGTACTAATTTCAGAGGCGACAGTGTTGCAGCAGGATTAGGTGGAGTAGGAGTGAATGCTGAACCTGTTAGCTACGATGCTGGGGTAGTAGGCCTTCTGGTTGTGGTCCACCCGCTGGTCGCTCTCTCGGATGAAGCGCTCCTGTTCGCCGAACGCTCGGATGACCGAGGTTCCCAGCAGTGTTTCGTTGAAGTGGGTGTAGATGGGCGAGCGGCTGACGGACTCCAGACGCTTCAGCTGGCGAGACGACGCCACGTAAAACCTCTGGACAGAGAAAAGACACGAGTCTAGAAACTTATGACGAGAGGAACAATGTGGGAGCTTCAGACCTCTCTGTGCTCCGTGTTTCCACGTTTCTCCAAAGAGCCTTTGCCTTCCGACTCACCTGCACAAGAAAGTAGAGCAGCCCAAGGACAGGGATGACGATGGCGACCAGCGGCGTGGCGATCAGGATGATGACGCACGCTCCCATCACGTTGAACATGGAGCCCATGAACATCTTTAGGATGCTGGGGATCACCGTGTCGATGGTGTCCATCTCCTTGGCGAAGCGGTTCACCAGGTTTCCGCTGGGAGTTCGCTCAAAGAAGTACATGGGTGAGCGCAGGACGTCGTACAGCATGGACTGGTGGAGGTAGCGGGACGCCAGGATTCCTCCGATGGACATGGAGAGGGAGTAACCGAAGACCGCCACACCTGTGGGACAGCAGTACATTGAGGATTTTATGTCGAAATTTAACCAACTGAGCCTGAGAACAGCTACATCTGTTAGCTTGAAGTGCTGTGAGCTGCATCTGCTCTTCACATCAAATGTGATCTTTGGGTTTGAGCAGCTGAAAGTCTTTTTTGTTTCTGTTGAATTCTGTTGAATAAGTGAAGCGTAATCCCTAAATGAATGACCTGAACACACACACCTCTGACACACAGAATACAACAGAAGTGAGGACACCCCTGTGTAATATCACCTAAATGTCAAGATTTTCACATTTAAATCAACTGTCCAGAATTGTATTATTTCTAGGTTGAACTGCAGATTATATCCTTTTATACATGTATATGCATAAAAAACAACAACAAAACAATAACTTTAGAAAGACTATTAAAAGTACAGGTTCAGCACATCTGCAAAAGACAAAATAACCACAACAACGGAGGCCTTAGCTGCTCCATCGCCTCGGCGCTGCTCACCCTGGGACACGCCCAGAGCTCCGTACACCCCCAGCCTCATCAGTCTGTTGGGCTGGGTCCCGTTCACCACGGGGTCGTCGGTCCACAGGCTCAGCCAGTAGTTGGAGAACAGGGAGACCAGATGATGGGCCAGGAACAGCAGCAGACTGATGCAGGACAGAGCCACTCCGATGGCCTTCAGGTAGGACCAGAACACCGACAGCTTGACCTGAGGAGGAGATCGGCGGTTGGAGTCCCCACACTCTGCACATGGATCCGATACGATACTGAATTCTTGGTTCTGCTGTGAACCGTGAAACGTGCGAGGCGTCTACGTACCCTCCCGGTGCTGGCTTTGTCAGCCTCTGTCAGCTTCCCAACCTTCGGGTCCTTGGTCTTCTTGCTCAGCTCCTTCTCCTCCTTGTCCATCAGAGACAGTTTAGAAGCACTGTTGGGACCTGGACTGCTGCTCACACAAAAGCAGAGTCAAACACGATGAAGTTAGCACCATCTGAAGTCTGCCGATTATAGACTTCTAGAGAGAACCACTTGTACAAACAGTTCAGTTCCTCAGTGCCGCGTGCATTCAAATCAAGCAAACTTTAGTTTTTAAATAAAATTCTCTGATAAGAGTTAAAGTTTTAGGCACTGACAGAAAAGTGAGGATGCTGGTAAAAAAATAATGTTTTGTTTATCTTTATTATACTAATGATTCGTAAAACAGTGCACAGGCAGGTCTGAAGCTAATATCCCACCACCACACTCAAATAAAATGATCAATTAACACAATCAAGCAGACGTGTTTTGTGCAGTTAAGAGTCAGAGGAATCTTACAAACCTCACAGAAGAAGGATAAGAACAAGAGGAGTTCCTGCACAAAGCGCTGCATTGTTGTGAGCGGATTCATTCCATCAATGAACTCTTGTTCTGAACAGACACTGTTTGTGCTTCTAAAGTGAGTTACTGTGACTGTTATTGACACACAGCTGATCTACGGTTTACTCACCCAACAAGAGCTGTCACACTGCCGTTCTCTATTCCTTTGGCTCCGCTCTTTGGAACTGATTCTAAACACAGGAAGGAAAAGAAATCAGTTGGTCATTGAACATTACCTGCAAACTCTGTTTTTATTCAGACTTTCTTATTAAAGAGCTGCAATTAATAATCTCTCAGGTTCGACCTCTTCATTGTAAAAAATACTTTCACGTGCAACAACATGCAGCGCCGTGTGTTTCCTACCGTCGTTGTCAGTTTGGTCGACAGTCGCGTAAGTTCGCAGGAACTCGGCAAAGGCTCCGTCTGTGGCCATGAGCTGCTGGTAGGAGCCCACCTCGGTGATCTCCCCCTCCACCATCACCAGGATCAGGTGGGCCTGAGGCAGGTAGCTCAGCCCGTGGGTCACCAGAACGCGGGTCTGTACACATCCGCATAGATACACAGGTTTGTGTATGAAAGATGAGTCCAGTTCAGGTATAAAGTCATTGAATCACTGCAGCTAATAATAATAATAGTAACAATAATAACAATGAAAATAATAATAACAATAATAAGAAGAATTAAACAGACACTCATATTAAAAACAATCACATATTTCTGTCTTTAACATCGAATGTTTGAGAGAAATCAGATGGAGGTAAACCAAGTTACAGCTTTAATCAGTTGGTGCAACACTTTGGTCATTAAATTATGGATCCAAAACAACAAGTTTTAACGACTTTGGAGATTCTCTGACTTTTCCACTAGTTCTACATCACCCGGTTGACGTTTCTGACTTTCCTTCGAGTGTGTTGCTGAGGACACGGATGTTTCTATTAGAACATTTAATGACAGTTTTATAATATTTTAGGGATATTATACTGACGCCGTCATTCCAGGAGCAAACACGGATGTGTAGTCGAAGCTACCTACATTTAAATGCAACAGAATGTAAAAGCCCCGACGCATTGTTCCGTTGTCAGACCTACTGATTCACTGCTGCAGCTACAGAACACTTTACAGTCCGGTTGGCATCAAGTTTAACAGGCCAAGACCCGACACTGACAGAACATCTCACTACAACCTGTAATCAACGCAGCAGTGGAGGTTCCTACTGAAGGTCACTGTGGCCAGTCATATGCTTTAAATAAAATGAATGAAGACATCATAAAAAGTAACTCAAGGGATAAACCTTTACATTTTCTATAGGTTTGACACATCAAGTGAAATATTTCAAGTGTTTCCGTTTTAATTTTGATGATGATGTCTTCTGATTAGAATGCTGCTCACCTTGTCCTTCAGGAGTCCCTGCGGGCCGATGACGTGGTCAAAGATGTGTTTTCCGACATGAGCATCAACAGCGGACAGCGGATCATCCAGCAGGTAGACGGCTCGGTCGCAGTAGACGGCTCTGGCCAGACTCACCCTCTGCTTCTGGCCTCCGGACAGATTCACGCCCTGGACAGAACACAGATGGAGCTGAAGCCCGGTGATCCTGTGTGTGGTTTACTAAAGCATCTAATAACCGACAAGTCTGAAGACAGCGACGACATGTCATGGGAAGACTACCCTCCAGAACCACGAGGCCAAAGCACTGGTTCTGTCTCTTTGTAAATATGAGATGAGGGCTGCAGGAACTTAACCTGTTTTTATAACCTGATATCGTACCAGTCCCGTATGAAAACACTGGAACAACTTCACAGTTGAGCAGCTTTCACAGAATTCATGCTGAGGTGGGTCCGTCCTGGTTGCTGAGCAGCTTTCTGCATCTTTATCACCGCAGCATTTTAAATACAGTCGTCTTATGTTACACCCCGCAGATAACCCGGGATACCTTCTCTCCGATCTCTGTCTCATCTCCGGCAGGAAGGATCTCCAGGTCCGGCTGAAGAGCACAGGCCTCCACCACTCGCTGGTACCACGTCTCCATCCTCTCCTGACCGAACAGGATGTTGTCCCTCAGGGAGGAATTCTGGATCCAGGCCTGCTGGGGGATGTAGGCCACAGAGCCCTGCAGAGACAAAACACATCAACGGGAGCTTTAAGGCTTTTTGTAGCTGATGTCGGACAAACTACAGTCCTGCTGCTCTCTCCGATTTAACAAGCTGCAAGAAACGTCCCAAAATACTCAATGAAAAACAGTATTTCAGAAGCTTCCTCTCTTCGTCTGCCACCGTTCCTGGTGGTCAAAATTGCATGTCTGTGTGTGTGTGTGTGTGTGTGTGTGTGTGTGTGTGTTACCTTGACAGCCACAGTTCCTTCCAGTTTGTCCATTTCTCCCAGCAGAGCAGAAAGCAGAGACGACTTTCCTGATCCAACATGGCCGACCACAGCAACTAGAGAGCCTTCTGGGATACACACATTCAGCCTACACACACACACACACACACACACACACATAAATATATCAGTATTTATTTAAACTGTCGACTGAACACATTAACAGAAAGAACAGGCAGACATGAGATGTGTTTATATGCTGGTGAGGACTTTATGTTTATAATATTTTACCTGAATACTTTCTTCTACTAAAAACTGTACTTTTGGAGAACATTGTCCCTCATGACTCGCTTCTTTAGGAATATCAGTGTGTCTGATGATGAGTGAATGTTTGATTAAGACTCGTGAGGACGGAACACACCTCTTCAGCGTTGGAGATTCGGCTCTGGACCAGCTGAAAACTCCGTCCACGATGGTGATACTGTGCGGGGCTGTGAGAATAAAAACGGCGTATTAATAGTCTGTATGTGAATACTCCTTCGTGTACATCCATAAGAACGGAGGAACTCACAGCCAGCGACTGCTTTGTGGTCTACACTGTCTTCCTGCAGCTCCTCGTGAGACAGAAACACTCTGAGACGCTTCAAGGACACGCTGGCCTGAAGGAGAAGGAAGCCATAAAGACCCAGAGGTTAATTAACCACACCGACGCTTGAACGCTTCAGTTCTGCTCATACGTGCACATAAAGAATGTTTTAAATACGTTTTTATGTGCAGTGATCGATCCCAGCAGGCAGCAGCAGTGTTGAGACACAATACAAGAGCAACACGTCTGTCCACAAAGGTTTTGTGACAGAATCTCTTTATTATGGTCTGTATCTGTTTGTGTCCATGTGGTGAAAGAGCCACTAAATGAACATCACCTGTACTGAATGAGCTGTGAGGAAAAACAGTGTCCTAAATACAGAAACCTGACATCTCTCTGGTTCCAAAATGAGGTCAGAACCATTTATTTAGTTTATTCAGTCATTTAAACACGCTGAGTTCTGTGTTTCTTTTCTATGAAGAGTTAAAATCTCCAGTAACTGAAGTATTTCATGATGCTGGGCATGTGACTGGACTGTATTCTCCACATCTGTCCTGTTGTTGCTCAGCACGAGGTGAAGGCTTCTGTACCCCTATCTGTCGCTATATTACCATCAGTGCTGTCTGTGCGGACGACAGCAGGATTAAACCGACCTGCACCATGCTGCTGATCACCATCGGCAGCATGTTGAGAGGAAAACGCAGAATGTTGAAGAGCGCCAGCGACACGAAGGCCTTCTGAGCATCGAGCACATTGTGCTCGTCGATGAGCACGTAGACGCTGAAGGTGGACAGAGCAACCTGTTCAGGCACAAAGAGAATATCGCCTCATTATCACACTTTTCAGTTCATTCAGATATTTTCAGTTGCAGAAAATGAGTCGCTACTGTATCATCACTTCATTCTGTCCAGTCTGTACAAATGCTGCTGCTGATTGCGCTGCACCGAGGTCCTGCTTTACTTTAAAGACACAAGCCATCCGTCCACTCGGATGTCCTCGTGTGCTGCACTCACCAGGAAAGGCGCACAGACCCAGGTGAAGGTGGAAACTGCACCCAGGTAGGCGGCCTTCTTCAGCACCTTCAGCTCACTCTCGCGGATCTCCGACACCTTGTCCTTGAAGGCCAGCTCCCAGGCGTACAGCTTCAGCACCTTGATGCCGTTCAGCATCTCGTTCATCAGCTTAATGCGATTGTCTTTGCTCTTCATCTGAGCCACCTGCTCAACAGACGCACAAAGTGTTCAGAGACACACTCGCTGTTACTGCACACGTGGCAGCTAGCAGAACTGCGATTGTGTGGATTTAAGAGAAGGAATATAATAATATTCGTCCCACCTGGTAGGTTTTGGTTTTCATGGCGATGACGGCGTTTACAGGAACCATCAGCAGCATTACGGCCACTCCAGCCAGAACCGACGGACCCAGGTTCTGCTCAGCAACAGATAAAGAGGAATCAGTTTCACTAGCGTCACCCCGAGTGCCGGTTTGCACTCAACTAACCAGCATTACAGCAGACTATGAGAACAGATTCTATACTCTGTTACCACATCACACATGTTCTGGATCACACATCTCACAGGATATCATTGGCTAGCTGCTCTCAAAGCCGGTCGCTAAATGGTACGATTACTTTCTTAAAACCAAATAAAATGAGTCCAGAGAATTAAGCATCGAACCCAGTCAGGTGCTGAGCGTCTGCAGTTTGTCTGAAATATTACCTGCCACAGGAAGTAGAGGGCCAGAACCACCTGCAGAGGAGCCGACCAGATCATGTTGATGTAGGTGATGAGGTCCATGAAGCGCTGAGCGTCCACCGACATCAGGTTTACAATCTCCCCCACCGTGGAGGTGCGACGTGCTGCGCTGCTGATGACCAAGGCCTGAAAAAGCAGATCCAGGAAGAGAAATGTCCCGACAAAAGTTAAAGTTCAACTGTAGATTCACAAAACTGAGCAAATGTTGTCATGATTTGGTTAAATCTATCACAGCAGCACCTGGTTTGTAATAACTTTTCACTGCTTTTGCATCCATTCTGTCGCACTTTACTGTGTTTCCATAATATTGACTACAAGCAGTGAAGATTTCTTTTGAAGCCACATTTAAGTTCGTACCTTCCTGTAAACTGCTCCGATGATGGCGGTTCGCAGACGCATGCCCGAGACGAAGCAGACGTGAAAGTACCTCTGCAGGATGAGCGACTGCACGCAGGTGCAGATGAAGAGCAGAGCTGTGTAGAAGAAGCCCTGCCAGGAGGGGGCGCTGGAGTCGTTCACAAAGCGGATCAAGAGCCTGCAATCGAGCGGAGAAAAAGCAACATCATCGTGTTTGTTCTGAGTCAGATTTAAATCAGCAGCACAGCGTTGCAGCATCCACACATGAGCTGGAAACCTGAAGCTGTGAACTGCAGCAGCCGATGCAGATTTATTCTCTTCAGTAATGACGAACAGTAACATCTACACCTGGAATGTAACACTGTAGGAGCTTTTCATGGCTCTAGTCTATGTTACTACCAAAGATAATTACCTGGTCATGTGACATTAAAGGTAAACAAGGAGCACTTGAACATCTTCAGTAACTCAACAGTCTACAGTGAATTAAAGGACATTGAACAGCAGCAGTGTGCAAACATTGTTCAAGTTAAACAACGTCTTCATATAATCCAATATGACACATTTTATTCCAGAGGTTTGGTTCCTGTACAGAATGCAACACATTCTGGCCTTAAAGTTTTGATTCAGATGAGAGGAAAACCCCAAAGATAACCCCTTAAATGAGGAAGAAACCTGGAAAAGCAACTGAGGGATGATTCTTCCCAGAGAGTCAGATATGAGATAGAGTGTGTGATTATCAAGCAGACTAAGCTGAACTGTTAGAGACATGCAACGTCGATAGATAGCTCTAATAATGCTGGTTACAGTCTGTGAAGCTGTCTCACCGGAGGATCTCAGGCCCGACAAACATGAGGATGTCCTGGATGATCTTATAGAGGCAGGAGATGAGGAAGTAGGGCCCAAACGTCAGGCACAAAGCCCAGAACAGCGACGGCTCCTTTGTCTTCTTGGGGGATTTCACGAGCAGGATTTCAGACTCTTCCACAGCTCGGCCTTCTTTGGCGTCAGTGTGGGCGGCTCGCTTCGGGGAGTACATCGTCTTCTGCTCTGTCCTGGCAAAAGAGAATGACGGAAAAACAGAATTTATAGAAGAGTCAGAAATGATTTGTGGTATCTTTTTCTAACACGTGCAGCCCAACGTGAGATTTCTTTGTGGTAATAAACATAAGATAAGCGATGATGAGTTTCGTGTGGCTCCTGCAGGTTGGTTGACACGTCAGACAGAAGCTACCAACCAAAACATTTATTTATCTGCCTCCTTGGTATCTATTAACAGCAGTTGTACCAGCTTCACTCTGTCTAACCGTGTTGTCGTTTCTGTGCATTTGTTCCTGACCTCTTGACCTTTTGGCACTCGGAGTTCCAGCGACGGACCAGCTGTGGAACCACTTTGTGGGATTGGTCGTCTGGGTTCAGGGACCACAGGTCTTTCTCCTCTAGGGGGCGCCGGTAGCCTGTCACCATCATCCTGGTAAAGACAGAGGAGAGCGTCAGATTCTGAAGCACAGAGGGTTTAGAGACGAGATGAGAAGAGGGCAACAAACAGTGAAGGAACCGAATATGAGAAGTCCAGAGGTCCGCTGAGCTCCGTTGCATTACTGTGACTACTATCACATTTCAGGCTGCTCCAATTAATATCTCCTCTTGGCTTAACTGTGTATTACATAACGAAGCAATGTCCTTTCAAGGATCAACAAAGTTCTGTTTTGGTAACGTTTTCCAAGATGCACCTCAGAACTGATCCAATCAGGCCTCCAACATTCATAAAGACACGAGAACTGTGCAATTATAGGACCATGAAAGCACAGCTGGGTGTGATAGTTACTTGTCTAATGAAGATGGGTGTGGTCTAAACAACACCATAAATCAAAGTGTGTATAATTTGTAGGTAGCTTCGACTCTTCATTTCTTTTCATTTTGTGCAATGCAATGACAGCAAAGGCTTTCTGTTCCATTCCAGTCGTTGTTTCAGCTAAAACAGGCCAAAAGAAGAGATTTAGCTGAAACCAAACATTTTGTTGCAAAAATACTCAGAGAAGAAAAGGGTTAACAGTTAAAGTCATCAGAAAAAAAAGGATCACGAAGCCACTAGGAAGCCTTTGTCCTGCAGTCAAAGACCCGAAACCTTCCTGGAGAGTCCAGAATTAAAAGGTGTCAAGTGTTAGCGGCTCAGCCAAGAAAAACAGGGCAGACAATCACCGTATTGGACCAAGACACAGCTGGAGGCAGACGAAAGGTTTCATGGACAGATGAGACAAAGTCTTCACGGATCAGCAGAAAGGAGAAGCTCTGCTATCACTAAGGACGCTGAAGAATGGCTGAAAATCAACGAGTCAGTTTGTTCCAGCTGTGGAACAGGAAGAAGGTCAGATCATGACAGAACCCATGTTATGGGACTTCACTGTGAACCAGTCTTCCCACATTATTCATGAAAGGAACAGGTGCTGCCTGTTGTCATGATTCCTGTTGTTTATTCTGATTAAGTCCTTTCGGTGCAAAACTAAAGTCCAAAGTTTGTCTTTTGTTGATATTGTAAATTCAGCAGTCTGAGCAGGACAAACTAAATCTCTCTAGTTTGGAATCCAACCCTGCAGTGGACATTAGCATAAGGAGGATATCTAACTACTGACATCCTTTCATAGTTTACTTTGTGCATTTCTTTTGATCTGTTCCAACTCTTGACAACTGGAGAGTCCAAGCTCTGTCTTATATTCATGACACAATGCCAACAGATAGTAGCACCACATCATGGATGCTCTGCTCACCTGGTGATCCACCAGAAGGATATTCTGGAGAGGAAAGAAGCTCCAGGCTCCGGACAGGGATTCTGCACACAAAGGCTGACAGTTAGACCCGAAAGCAACCACTGTGACTACATCCCAGAAACCTCAGGAAATAGCTGGAACTTATAATCACAGCTTTATTTCTTCATATGTTTTCAACAGATATGAAGACTTTCCCTTAAAAAAATAAATAAATCAAAACAATCCTTGCTGGACCAAAAAAAAAAGTTAAAATGTCCTAAAAAGTGGATTTTCCGGCTGTGGCAGTCGGCCCCAAGCGACATTTTCATATAACATATTAGTGGAGATATTAGTTTTTGAAAATTCAAGATTTTTCATTTTGATGATAAACGAAAGATTTTTATTATTTTAATTTCTGTAGAAAAAAAAATTAGCTTAAGCTACTGACACGACAAGTTCCAACTTTTTCTTGATGTTTCTGGGATATTCAGTAAAAACAAATAAAAAATCCGGTGAAAAATAAGCAACTGGTGAGGCATTAAAACATTATTTGCTGAAGAAATTTAACACTGAGGCTCTATTTTCAAAAATTCATCACTCAAAAAGTATTTGGAGTAGAGCTGTGGGATTTTAGGTAGAAGTTTTTGCATGACTTTTTTGTTTTTCAAACAAATACATGACATGAACTAGGAAAAGCTCTGAAATGTGGGCGGATTGGCTGGAATGAGCCATTTCTCCATCTATGCTCACAGGACTTTGAAGACGAAGACAGAAGAGACTCACCGAGTCTTTAACGGCCTGAGAGAAGAGCGGCGGCTGGTCGGTCAGGCAGGACAGGAACAGAGCGACCAGCAGCAAGGCGTAGTAGATGTAGAAGGTGGTGTATCTCCACACACTCACCGTCAGAGGCTGAAAGCACAAAGATGTTCACATCCTGGACCAAGACGCTGCTCTGCTTACTTCACTGTAACGTCTCTGCAGGAAACTGGTGTTTAAGGTGTTGATAAATTCTAATCAAACTAAATGATCGTCTGTGCATGTGGACATTTATTAACTTTATTCAGTGTTCTGACCTGGTTCAGAGCCTGCAGGATTCTGGACCTGAAGCTGACTGTTGCACACAGCAGAGCCAGCAGCCAGAAGATCAGCATCACCCCAGAAGACTGAACTCCTTTCATCCGCTCGTACTGGACCAACAGGGCGGCCAGCAGCTGGAGACACATCAACACACGGACTGTTATAATCACTGAGGCACACAATAAGGAAATGAAATAAGATAAGGAGACATGCACAGTGAAACGGTACGTAAGTAATGCAGCAGCCGCTCGTGTTGTTCTTTCAATTTCAGAATCTTTAGAAAATAAATAAACACGTTTTTGGAAAACAAGAATAAAAATACAAATTCAATTATATATATAAAATAAATAAATAAAATCAAACCAACTAGTTGTTTCCAGAAAATAAAAATAACAACTTTGTAAAATAACTAAGAAAAAAAAAACCAAACTGAACTAACTCGACAGGACTGAAGTGAGCTCAGTAGAAAGGTTCTCACCATGGTGAGGCCCAGCAGGGTGGGACTGACGAAGTGGACGGGGGCCGGGCCTGTGCTGCCATAACTCCTTTCCCAGAAAGAATAAAACACATCTGACCAGCAGATGATCCACAGCAGGAAGCCGACGGCCTGCAGAAGAAGACCGAGGACAGAGTCTGAGGTTTATAAGTTCTCTGGGTTCAGTTATTCATGTACTAACGTGCTGCTTGTTCTATTTGTTTATTCACCATCTGTCTATTGAATGTCTAATGAACTCTATAAAGTCTATCTTGGCTATCACACAGTGTAATGGTATTAATCTTGTATGTTGACTTTGCTTTTAATAATAATAAACCACGAAACCTTTAACAACACTGTGCCGTCATCTTTTCTATAATGGAAAGATGGACATTAAAAAGATATATGGGAGATATAGATAATAAAAAGATATGATAAAGTTGTTACTACATCATTTATTACAGTGGCAGCATGACTGTGTTACTGAACTATAAACCACATTACAGTAACTGTAGCACTTGTAAGTTGAACAGAACAGTTATGTCAGAGCAACAGAACCTCACGTTGGATGGTTCTGCTGCTGGAATAATACTCGTCTTCCAGCTTGTGCAGACTGGGAGGCATCAGTCAGACAGTAATCTGGTTTATCCAGATATTCATGGTGCATCTATAAATGTCATTCTCCGTGCTTCACTCTCAGGACTGTGCACTCACTGTGGGAGTTATCCACATATTCACGTGGACGGATTTCAGTCAACATGCAGGAACTTCACGGGTTGAGCTGTTGGGCGTCTTACTGCTGTTGTTACATATCATCATATATACTCATGTAACATTACTCACGACAGGTTAGAAATGAACTAATGGCATTTTGACAGTTATTAACATAGAGAAGAAGGTGAAGTCCACACAAAATACACACGGCTTAAACAATGACGCGGCTAATTTATGGATTGCTACGAATTTGCCTCGAGACCAAAGTGACGTTGAGAGCGACAACGACAGAGAGAGACGGAGGAAGTGACGAAGTGATTCTGAGGCTGAAGAAGACGACTTCAGTGGTTTTAGTGCAGGAGGAAGATGAAGATAGCGATCAGTGACTTTTCCTGGTTGGCTGCTGTAGTTTTTATTTTCTTAACCAGCCGTGTTACAGGCACTGTTCAGAAAAAAGCATCTACGGTATTTGTGTATGTTACTGGATCGTATTTAATTAAAAGTTAAAAACATCTTTCAGTGTAAATATCTCATGTTCCAACGTGGACACCTGCAGCTTATAGACAAGTGCGGCCTGTATATGTACAATTTAGTTTTTCCTTTTTAAAGTTTGTGGGTGCTGCTTATATCCAAGTGCGCTCAATAGTCCGGCATTTACGTTATATAATAATGTATATAATGTAGATACACTTCCACTTTGGTTCGATATTTCTGCAGTGTTTTCACTTCATGACCCTCCCGTCTCACATGTTGTGACCCTTTGAACTCCACAGAAGCTCCTGACTGACATCTGGGATATTTATCATCCATTATCGACTCGTTGACACATTCCATCCCTGAATGTTTGCAGCATTAACCGGTCAAATCATTACCAGAACAGGTGCACCGGGTCGGCAGGTCGGTGTCAAATTGACATCCACTTTAATAAAGACCAGGACAGAACATTACGGCCTCCACAGTCCAGACTAGCACCGGAACCAACTCAAGTCCGTGAGCCGCAACAGAGAACAGGACTACTCGGGCCGAGCCTCCTGGTCCAGTTCTGGTGTTGTAGACACTTTAAATGCTGTATAGTGGTCAGTGTGGCCCCTGGCAGACTAAACGCACCCTCGGACTCAGCAGGGTGTGATGCTCTGTGCGTCCAGATAAGATTATCTCTCCTCTCAAACCATCAATAACACCGTCTGTGGCCTGTGCAGCAGAACCCTTCTGCCGGTCCAGAACCTTGTTGGAGGAGACAGTTTCTCTCCAACCCCTAACCACACCTACAAACCTGTCACTCAGGTATTTATAGCGGCTCATTTCTCCTGCATCCAAAATGTTAACAACTCTCTGATCTTCTGTACATTACAATAAATAACGACGGTTTGATTCTGTGAATGTTTGAACTACGCTGCAGAGCAACACAGATGTAAATGTGACTTCTGAAAGTTGAAAACACCGTCAGTACACTAACGCTGTGGCAGCTGTGTATTTCTGTCTGAAAACCACCACATATTTTAACTCCACCACCTCTGACCAGATGATAGCTCTTCAGAACAAAGACAGTTGCTCCAAAAATAAAAGCTACAACTGAGAATTAACACGGAGAAAGCAGACGCAGCGAGAACCAGAACAATCCCGGCTCTCATCACTCACGGTCTTAGCTTTGTTGAGGTGACTCATGCATATGTAGCCGTGGTTGTTCCTGCGGAGGTACACGAGGTAGAGCGGTGCGCTGATCCAGAGGTAGAGGCATGGCAGCCACACCAGCACCGTGTTCTGGAAACACGGGGTCAGGTCCGGGTTAGACGTGTGCCATGTGCGGTTCCAGTCCTGGCGGAACAAACAAGCGGAGTCAGAAATCACGACCGTATGATTCAAGGCTACCGTCGGAAATAACAAGTATGTATGAGTCAGTCACATGTTGGATTGGTCTCAGTAACATTTACGTGAACAGAATGACGTAATCGTGTCGTCTGTAAATGAAAAAAGTGCAAAATAAGTAAACTGTGAACTCACAAAAATGCATCTTAAATAGAAAAATTGATTTGCAAATATATAAACAAGAGAAGTATCTGTTGGTATTCAGTTATATTAGGAATTGTTGAAAACATTTCTTTCTATTTCTGGATCTAAAAAGTTGTTGTTTCAGTAACTTTGGTCACAGTTGAGACCCTGAAATTAATCTTGGTCGTCTCAATTCCTAAATGTCGAGGATGGAGGAGGCTGCTGGAGCATCTATGAGCGAGGATGCTCAGGTGTTTCCTCAGGTGTGTCCTTGGGTGTATCTTTAGGTGTTTCCTCAGGTGTGTCCTTGGGCGTTTCCTCAGGTGTGTCCTCAGGTGTTTCCTTGGTGTGTCCTCAGGTGTTTCCTTGGTGTGTCCTCAGGTGTTTCCTCAGGTGTGTCCTCAGGTGTGTCCTCGGTGTGTCCTCAGGTGTTTCCTCGGTGTGTCCTCAGGTGTGTCCTCAGGTGTGTCCTTAGATGTTTCCTCTGTGTGTCCTCAGG